TACCGCTTTCATAAAAGAATTCTAATTTACAATATACCTTTCAACCTCATATATATATATGCCTACAGACAGAAGTCTTAGCACTGGCCTGTTGGGGCAGATTATTTTCAGGTGTGTGACTTTTGTTTACACTGCATGTGTGTAACTCTGTGAAGCGGTGTTACTGTGCCTGTCTAAAACCCCCAAAGGTCACAATAAAGTGATGAGCGGCCAAAAGCAAGGCAGGAGCAAGGACGGGCAGGGCCAGCAGGCAGAGTATAAACAGAAGGAGAAATCTGGGAGGAGAGAGAACAAGGAGCAAGAGAACAGGGAGAAGAGGACATCAGGGCCAGCCACCCAGCCGCCCAGTCACTCAGTCAGCCACCGGGTAAGAAGATATACAGAAGTAAGAATGATAAAAGCCCAGAGGGGAAAAGTAGATGGGATAATTTAAGAAAAGCAGGCAAGAAACAAGCCAAGGCAAGGCCAGGCATTCATAACTAAGAATAAGCCTCTCTCTCTCTGTCTGTCTGTCTCTCTCTCTCTCTCTCTCTCTCTCTCTCCTCTCTGTCTCTCTCTCTCTGTCTCTCTCTGTCTCTCTCTCTCTCTCTCTCTCTCTCTCTCTCTCTCTCTCTCTCTCTCTCTCTGTGCACCCATAGAATAGCCCACGAATATCTGCCTCTTGTAAATCCTGTCAGTGGTCAGACCCTATTTCCAGGTAACAAAACCTCCCTTTTTCTACCCACCAGGCCATGGGCTCTCTCCCAGGGACTGACTGGCAACTTAATGTTACTCACATGCCCCCAGTTAGACAAGTCAAATATCTCCTGTTAATTTCACTGCAGAAACGTCCGCAGGGTGGACAGAAGCATCTCTGACCTCTAACCTGAGGGCTCAGACAGTCTCTGAGGTCCTTCTCCAGAAAATTATCCCCCAATTTGGAATTCCAATCTCTCTTCAGTCAGACAATGGTCCCGAGAGTTCTCCTCTCAGGTCTCTCAAGCCCTGTCGAAATCGCTCAACATTCCTTGGCATTTTCGTATCTCATACCAACCCCAGTCCTCAGGAAAGGTAGAATGAACTAAATGCTCCTTTAAAAATAAAAAACAAAACAAAAAGAACATTCTCGTTAAAATGTCACAAGAACTTTACCTTGACTGAGTAAAACCCTTGCCTCGGGATCTTCTCAGGCTCTGGGCTCTCCCCAAATGTCCCCTTCCCATCTCGCCCTTTGAACTTATGTATGGCTGGCCAGTGCTATCCCCTGGTCTCTCACCTAAACCCTCACCTCTCCCGGATCACCTGCTTAAACCCTTACTTTACCCCCTTTGCTCCCTCCTATGGAACTTTTCTGACTACATCCTACCTCGACCGTGTATCAGCCTTTGTCCATCTCCAGTCAGCATTGGAAATAGAGGCCTTCTCTCTCCTCCAGATCAATGCCCCTCACCCCTTTCTACTAAGCGGCAGAGCCGCTTCCAAGTAATTCTCATAACTCCAACAGCTGCTAAATTTGAGGACCTTCCTCACTGGATACACTTATCTGGTCTCAAGCCCTTTACCCCTCCACCTCAAGGTAATCCTCCTTCATACACAGCGACTCCAACAGGACCCTGTTCCTTTCAGCTTCAGAGGACACTGAGAGCAACTGAAATTGGTGTCTCCAATATCAGAAGAATGAGGCTTCACCCCACAACCTCCTCTGCTGGATTGGAGCCCCATAGGCTTTCCTTCCTGACACCTCTTCCTGCCCCCCCCCCCCCAGGCTGATCCACGTTCTCCTGTTTCTACTAATTACACCCTCCTCTCTATGTATCACCAATGACTTATCCCAAACTCCTAATCAAACCCACTAGCTGTGGTTACAGGACTCCCAGCCGTTAGCCACGGAGGTCGCGCAAAGACCATCAAGCACGCCCGGGTACCCTCAGGAATCAACCACCCGTCTCTCCTGAGTGTTAAGGTGACATCGTGAAGATGGGGAAGGAAGGGGTGCTTTAAGGTTTGCTTGTAAGAAGCTGAAAGCTAAAAGTCGACTTGGACTCACTTCAAACAGGTCAGTTACCCACCTCCCTCAATTGCTAGAACCTAAGAATTTTTTTTTCTTCCTAAATTTAACTTTATCTTCTGTTCTGACAGCGTCTCGCCAGATCTAAGAAACATGGGACGGCGCCACATAGCCTGGGACAGCAGTGAAAGGACCAGCTACCACACCCCAGCTTTCTCAGGTTCCCTAAAGATGATCGCTGCCGCCCCCCAAGTCAGCTGGAAGCAGTCTTGAGAAGTCAGTGCCCCCGTTTCCCTGCCCTACCTGGCACCCTCTTTAATTCCTCATCTTTAAAAAATAAAAAAAGGTGGGAAATGTTAGGATTCCAGCATTATACTGACCCCCGCCCCTGGCAGCCCACCGTCAGGCAAACACCTAGCTAGCCCAGGGGCCCTTCGACCCTATGTCACTACTTCATGCGTTGCATGGCTGTGTCATGCGTTGAGTGGCTGTATAAGGCTCTGTACACATGCATAAGCTTTCCCTTTTAAGTAAGCTCCGCCCTCCCGTTCTTTCTCATCACTTTCTCCTCTCAGGTGACCGGCACAGTGCCCGCCCCCCGGTTGCCTAATAAACTTCCACGTGGGTTTGTTGAGACCTGTGGTTCATTCCTCGCTGCCGCAGCCGCAGCCGCTGCCACACACCAGAGTTCGTGGCATCACCGTTCTTATCAGCCCAAAGTGGAGACAATATCCGCCAACTGATGAAGAATTCAAAACAAAACAGAACAGAAAAGCTTCACGTAGAGATCTCGGGAGGCGAAGCTCAGTTGGTTGAATGTCTGCCTGGCATTCATGAGACCCTTGGTGGAGTGTCCAGCATTTCTTAGCCCAGGCATGGCCGTATTTGTAATCTCCTGAACTAGGAAAGTAAAACAGGAAGAACGGGAGTTCAAGGTTCTCCTAAACTACCCAGCAAGTTGGAAACATCTCCCTCTCTCCTCTCTCATTCTCTGCCCCTCCCTCCTCCCTCTCACAGACAATCCCCCCCAAAGTAAAAGTGTTATTCAGTAAGAGGGAGAGAAGTACTAACACATGCCACAATGTGAATGGACCTTGAAAAATACCATGGGAGGGGGGGCAATGAAAGAAACTAATTGCAAATGTCCACTGATTAATGATTACACTATGTGCCCCTTGTAGGCATTTGTGCCACCAAGCAGAGTTCCCCTGTGGCTTCTGCTTCCCCCGAAGTCAGGGCAGGAACTATATATAAACTGTAAGCTGAGATAAACCCTTTCCTCCCCAAGTTGCTTTTGGTCGTGGTCTATCAGAGCATGAGAAAGCAAGATACGATCTCCTTATGAAACCGTGGAAATATTGTAAAGTGGAGAGTGAGGGCAGGACTGATTTCTCAATGTATAAAGTGGAAACGGAGGGTCATTTGTTCAAACTGTGTTCTGAGAACACGAGTTCCATCCCTGAGATCCACACAGTGGAAGGAGAGAACCAATTCCTGCAAGTTGTCCTCTGGCTTCTCGATAGACGCTATTGAACTTGGATGTGTATAGGTGCACAGAACAAATAATGAAGGAAATAGAAGTTTAACGCTTTGGCAGAGCATTAAATCAAAATAGGGCCTTCTACACATGGAGACTGTTACGCACAGGCCTGTTTGCAGGGAGCCAGGAAGGATGATTTGGCTCTGGCCAGAGCAGACAAGCGCCTCCTTCCAGTAGTGCTCCCTGGATAGGCTAACACATTCATTCTTTCCCACAATGAAAGGGACATGATGCCGATTGATGGTGAAGTCAAATGGTGATTGTTTGTACCTTTGAGGACTAATCACAGGTCAGGAAATCCCGGTGTCTGATGTCTTCTGCTTTTATGGTGCCTGTTGGCTTTCTGCGTACTCTGGGTATTATCGACCCAGGCCAGAAAGATAATTTCTGATCAAATATCATATTGTATGTCTCCTAAGTGCCAAAGATAAAGAATGACCTCTTTAAGGCTAAGGTACAGTGGATGAGTACTTGTGGAGGCCTCAGTGTCCATCTCCAACACACACACACACACACACACACACACACACACACACACCTTTAACTTCCTGCTCTCTGAACTCTTCTCTGATTTCCTCAGATCTTATTAATATGTCAGTACTCGATGAAATGCTTACAGCTAGACATCTGGGTGTGTGGGTGGTTCTAGAGGCGACTCAACAGTAATGGGCAGTTAAATATGCGTTTTATTTCATGAGCTGCGTTCTGGTACAGTTATGCTTTCTCTGATAAAAGCGATTTCTAGTTTAGTTGGTGAGCACAGTCTCTTAATCGGATATTTTCGTCCGCCAGGGGAAGAGCGAGGTATAGAACTTTTCCGAAGATAATGAGAAATATGTTTGAAAGCAAGTTCAGCAACACAGAGAGAGCTCTAAAAGGACACCAAGCTCTCTCCTTGACATCAAATGCACTTCATCCGTTTGATTCTCAAAGAACACTAAAGTTACTTTTTTTTTTTTTTTTTTTTTCTGAACTAGGGTCTGGCTACATAGTCCAGGGTGGCTTGCAACTGGCGACCGTTCCCCTAACTCAGCTTTCGGAGTGCTGGGATCACAGGAGGGCACCATCAGATCCGGTTTGAATTTACCTTTTCATTTTCAAATTATTAAAATCCCACAAAAACTCCTTCAGATCAATCTCTGCTGCTTGGCCAAACTTGGGTGACGGACTGGGCATTTCCCAAGACGGCCTCTCGGGAGCCAAGTCGTTTACCCTTTCAGACTCCAACGCGTGCTTTTCTCCGTGCTCCGGCTACTGAGTAGCTCAGCTCTCTCCGCCTTCGCTTTGGCTCCTCCCCTGCACCCCCTTCCACTCTAGTCCCCGCCCCCTAGCCAGACCCCGCCCCATCCGCGCCCGGGGCCCCGCCCCGGCCCCGCCCTTCGCTCGCCCTCATTTCCTTCCGCTCCTGTTTTGCCCCGCCCATCAGCGTAGCGCGGCGGAAACGCGAGCCGTGAGCCGCTCTGGCCCGTCCGGAGGACTCGTCGTCGGTGCCCGCGGCTCTCGTGGGTTCAGGTCGGCTGTGGGCGGGTCCGCCGTGCAGTCCGCTGTCGCCGCCGCCGTCTGCTTCGGCTCTGCGTTTTTAGGCCATGGGGCAGCAGGATGTGTGGCGGCTCCTGTCGAGGTGAGTCAGCGAGCGAGCCCCGGCTGAGGGGCGGCTCGCCTTGCCGGTGTCCACGGCAGGCCTCGCCGACCGGGCTCCCTTCCCGCCGGCCCGCGCCGTCCGCCGCCGCAGGTGCCCCCCCGACTTTGCTCTTTCTAGCGCCTTCTTTGCAAAAACACCTTCATTTTCCGTCAGCCGTGACCTCGCACGACTCCCCCCCCCCCCCCCTTGACTCCTACTTATTTTCTTTCTTGGAGCCGGGTGCAGTTTGGGGACGTGCCACCTAATTTACTCTGTGTCACACACGTGTGACTGTTGAGCGCCTGGGATTCCGATAGATAGAGGAGGTTGATTAGCAGCTGTGCAGCCAGCTGCAGCGGCAGCGCGGGTGTTGGGAATCAGCAGAAGAGCGTCGTCGCCCTATAATGCGTTTGGCAGGAGCACGCGTCCAAACATCAACTTTTCGTTTTGTTTTGCTTTCCGGGAGAGGGTTTCTCTGTAGCTTGGAGGCCTGCCCTGGAACTCGCTCTGTAGACCAGGCTGGAATCGAACTCACAGAGATTGCCTGCCTCTGCTCCCCCCCCCCCCCCCCCCCCCCCCCCCCGCCGATTAAAGGCGTGCACCACCACTGCTCGGCCAAATACTAACTTTGTAAAGGTGCCTCTCACTGCAACCCCAGCTATGCACTATGCAGAACTGTGGTAGCACTCATCCTAGGAGTTCTGCCGCGTGCAATGCTTTGCCCCCGGTACCATACCCAAAAGCTTTAACTGTCCCCGTGAACTCCTTCGCAGAAGTCATTTTGGGGGGCGGGTGGCCGAGATGTTTACTGTTAGCTATCTGTGCGGTATAGGAGCGCCTGGACAGTGGAACTCACCTTTGTTCCGCTGCAAGTCCCTCATGCCTCATGTTTTGTCACGTTCCTGCAGGGAGATGGGAATGTTTCTTTGGTCTAAATGAATAGTTACCGGTTCCACTAGAGAGACAATTCAGCGGTTTAAGAGCCTGCCCTGCCCTTGACGGACAGGCTCAGAGGATTGGGGTTCTGTCCCCTGTGTGGCTCCTAACTACCTGTAACGCCAGCGCCAAGGAATCTGACAGTCTCTTCTCATGGGACACCTTTTATCACATGGGCACACACAAATATACATGTAATTAAAAATAAATCTTAAAACTAGTGCTGTTTCAGGGAAAGCGCCTAAAAATGTATCCAGTGATGCGATTCTCAAGTTATCTCTTACACACCAAAGAGTTGCCTTGCTTCTCTTTTTTTTTCTGTCTTGTGTGATAAATACTAACACCTGAGCCTGTATTCGTTGTTGGTGCTTTCTTGATGACAGCAAATTCTAAATTGCTTGGGAACCATGTTGCAAAGACAAGTGTATTAACAAAGTTAACTTCAAGTTGAAAGATTCTGTCATTACCTAGGTGAGCTTGCCTGCCACGCACGCACGCACTCACGCACGCATGCATGCCTGCGCTCGCTCAACTGACTAGGTGCGGGGCTCTGAGAGCCTGTCTGTCTGGAAGGAAAAGGGCTTGTGTGGCTCTGTTGATGTGATTGGCTGATGCCATTGGACTTCGGCCTCACTTTGCTCCTGCGGTCTATTGGCTGTTCCTGCCACCGCTTTTCCACTGCGCGGGCCAATTTGGCTCTTGGGCGGTGTTCTTTGCCCCCACATCACTTCTTTGAAGACAAGTCTCCAACATATTGTATAACCCGATTCACTCTGAGCCCTAGGCTGCATGCCTCGATTGCACTGCGCATGTATGCAATTGTGTGTGCACTAGATTTCCGAAGGGTCTTTGTCGCTAGTTTTTTGTTTGTGTGTGTGCATCAGCAGGCTAAGTGATGAGTACGACATTCATGGGACCGTTCGGAACCCTGTTTTGGTTGCTCCTCTCCCTGCCCTCCTCCCCTGGCCGCCTATATATATACATATATGAGTGGTATTTTCAATAGCCACTAACCTTGCCTGGTACAGTCTGGGGGTTGTAAATTGGCATGGAAATTTAAAGCAGGTTCTTGTTGGTGCACAGCACAAATTAGTTATATATGGGGACGGTAGTTTTTTTGTTTTGTTTTGTTTTTTGTTTTTTTTTTCATCTTCAGTTGTCTCTGATGCAGCTTATATGAAGATAATTGTTGTTCTGTTAACTGAATACCACTCTGTAATTGCAAAAAAGATTGCAGCTGTTTTGTTGACATTCTGAATGCTTCTAAGTAAATACAATTTTTTTTATTAAAAAAAAACATGCAGTATTTGCTGAGTCCAGGACACTTTGCCTGACACAATGTGCTGGCTAGTTTTTATGTCAGTTGACACTAGCTGTCATCACCACAGAAGAGGGCAGAGCCTCAGTTAAGAAAATGCCTCCGTAAGATGGGGCAGTCGGTAATCCTGGAGGGCATTTTCTTAATTAGTGATGTATGGGGCAGGGTCCAGCCCATGTGGGTGGTGCCCTTCCTGGTCCGGTGGCCCTGGTCTGGTGGCCCTGGTCTGGTGGCCCTGGTCTGGTGGCCTTGGTCTCGTGGCCCTGGGTGTGACTAAAAAGCAGGCTGAATGAGCCATGAGGAACAAGCGTAGATGGCACCAGCACTCCTCCATGCCCCTGCATCAGCTCTTGCTTGCCATTAGATTCCTGCCCAGTTTGAGTGCCTACCCGGACATCCTTCAGTGATGAACAGGCATACGGAAGTGTAAGCAGAATAAACCTGCCGTTCCCCAAGTTGCTTTCGGTCATGGCGCTTCATCACGGCAGTAGAAACCCTAAGACACAGTGACTTCCAGGTCCTGCAAGTGTCATGGAGTGGGTTCTCTGTCCTGCTGTACAATTCTCTTGTGTCCGCGTGCCACAGCGCCACATTTTCCTTTATCTGAGCTGTTGCTGGCTCCCTAGTTCCATTTGTTGTTTGTTTTTGCTTTTGTGAAGGACGCAGCTGTAAGAAGGACTGTAACATCCAGGCATCTCTTTGGTAGGGCGGAGTTCTCTATTTTCCCACCAACCTTATTTCTTCTTGCAGACTCCAGTTTATACAACACCCTGGGTTTAGCACTTGTTCCTTTTGCGGAAACTTGGTGGGCTTATGACTTCCAGCTAGAGAAAGTTCTTTGTGTGACGGCTAGATGTAGACTATTGGATTTTACTCCAGAGCCTGCCTTTTGTCTGCTTCGAAGCTCTCAGGAGTACCTTCCTGGACGTGGGATTAAATAAAAGAAAACTTTACTAGCTTGGATCTCCAGGATTTGGATCTCAGTTTACTTTCTGACGAAAATAGTCTTTTGTGGCTGCTCGGAGTCATTGTTCTGGGCACTGGTTATCCGGTGGGCAGCGTGGACCAGGTATTCTTACCAGCCCTTAAGTAAATACTTAAGACAAAGTGTATTTATTTACTGACCTTGCTAAGTGTTTTCAAGAAAAAAGTGGGATAGTGTAAAGCCACCTTCAACTAGAGGAGGGTAACCGTCAGGAGACCGCTGCTGTCCTCTGCTTAACTGCTTCGTTTGGCTCCTGTTTGCTGGCCCCTCCTTTCTTCAATGCTAGATGGACCAAGGTGTGCAGTCTTTGAGGCCTATTATCCTTTTGTTCTCTGTGCCAGGAGATACAAACCCAGTCAGAGACCAAGCATAAGCACTCAGTGACGGTCACCGATGACAGCAATAGGACCAGCAGGGCGCTATTGGGCGAGGGAGAAGGCTCTCGGGTTCACAGGCAGCTTCTCACCTCTGGCACTGATAGGGTTAATAGAGTGTAGGCCTGCTATTCCCATGAGCAGGCTGCCTTTTAAAAATTGTGTTTTATTTTCTGGAAAAGGTGAATGAACATTTAAAAAAAATGTTTGTGATTTTTAAAATAGCTGTTGACTAACCAGGAACAGAATAACAAAACACACTTGCAGACTAACCTGTGCGCTGCAGTGTTTGTATTTATTTCTTGCAGACAGGTGGAGGTTCTAGAGCCTCTGTGGTTGCTCTGGGACCCCCCCCCCCCCATGTGTCTTCAGTCCTGGCTTTTCTTGTAGGCTTCAGGGTCGTTTCTTCATTTGTTGTTGAAAGTTTCTACTTTCCGTCACAGCAAACGCAACCTAAAAACCAAATTCGTATTTCATCCTGTAAAGCAGTTAGTACCCTTTAAGTGTCTCAGGACCAGTATTTCCCTTCCTGTTCTTGCTTGCAGCCATCCCCTTTTCCAGACGTCTGCTCAGTGCACCATGTCCCTGTTTTCTGTCGCTTCACCCCTGAGTTAATCACCCGAGTAACTCGCTTGACTTTTCGGCTCTACTTAACCCTGGCAGCTGCCAGTGCAATCTGAGTCTCTGAGCCTTTTTTCTTTTTTTAATCACATTTTCTTGCTTGAGCAGTTCCTTGTAGAGTTGTGTGATTTCGTAAGCTTGTATTTGCTTGACTGGATGATTGCAACAATGTTTCTGAAGCTTGTATCATCCTAAGATGATGGTGTTCCATTATTGTTTGCTTGTTTGTTCATGTATTTGTTTTAAGACAGTGTCTCACTGTGTATCCACCGCTGGTCTGTAACTCTCTGTAACTCGCTGTCACCAGGCTTGCCTGGAACTCACAGAGATCCAGCTGCTTTGCCTCCCCGGTGCTGGGCCTAAAGACGTGGGTTACGGCTACCATAGTTGTTTTTCCACCTTCGGATGTCTTGTAATCACCAGGGAGATTTCTGTGTCCTTCAGTTTCTTCTGTGGTCTTTGATGAAGCAAATACTTTGCCCTTTGAGCCAGGTTTCCAGCATTTCACATTCTCTGCAAGGATTACATAGTGTTGGTGGTAACTGAACCAGGGCTGCGTTGCTAGAGAGATGTGTGTACCCCTCCTATCCACCAGATGGCAGTCTTGGAGCCATTAAAAAAAGAAAGCTAAGATGCCAGGTGGTGGTACACACCTTTCATTCCAGCACTCCTGAGACAGAGGCAGGAGAATAGCTGTAAATTCGAGGCCAGCTAGTACTATTACTCAGAGAACCCTGTGTTGAACACCCCCCCCCCCAAAGAAAAAAAGGCTTGGGATAAATTGGATACTGAATTCTCAAGTACCATGTTTTATATTTTTGTAGTACTAGTGATTGAACTAAATGCTGTATCACAGACTACATCTCCAGCCCCAGTATCGGATTTTAAGTCATAGGTTAGTTGGCCCTAAATGGAAACAATGTGAATGTATAGAAATGGTGGAGAAGTTAGTTACACTTAACTCTTCTTTACTCTCCTTGCCACTGGTACGGGGTCTTTGTGACTGCAGGTGCCTTACGTGGTGCTTTGCCTGTGGGTGTGGTCACTGTGGGTCAGCTTCTTGATTCTGGCAGAACTGTTTCATAGATTAAACGGGGACTTGAAGTTAAGCCTGCGTTTCTCATGTCCTCTTCTGCTCAGGCAGTACTTAAACCATTACTTAGATCTGCCAGACTGGCGGCACCCTCTGCAGCCTTGACTGGGCGCTGGCCTTATTAAGGACTTCAGAGCCTCTGTGGTTTGACCGAAAGAATTCTTCTCTCCCCAGTTCGACGTGCTGGGAAATAAGCCAACGGTTCTGAGTATGCGTGTTTGTCTCTTGTGAGCCTTTCGATACTGAAAAGACAAAATTGAGTCAAGTAGACTTTTTAAATTGTTTCTTAGAAATCGGCTGTTTGAGTGTTAAATCGGGTGTTACAGATTTAAGAGACTGTGTGAGGGGTTGGGGGACAGATTAGTTGGGTGAAGTACTTGTGCAAGCATGCCACACTCAAATGCCAGTGCTGGGAGGCGGAGGCAGGAGCCCTGGGCTTGCTGGAAAGTCTGGTCTAGCAGGTTCAGTGAGAGGGAGTCCTAAAAAGATAAACTTGAACTTGAAATCAGGCCTTGAAGCAGTTGACACTCAGCCTTGACCTCTGGCCTCAGCATGGGCACAAAGCCTGCATGAAAACCCTTTCTGGAAAATCCTCCTGAATTACCTGTCACTGTCACTTCTGGCTATTTTTTATAGTGTTTTATTTGAAGGACAACTTGCTTGCACTTTGTAGTGGTCATTTTGTCGAACAAAGTACCCACGCCTGTGCCTCACCTCTAGTCAGTACTGAACTGGGCAGTTGCCGCCAGAGTTTTAGGATAGTGATCCACAGGGGTCTTCAGAAGACTCTGATGTACAGACACGTGGCGGGACACTGGGCTGGGAGCAGAAGGCTTCGCTGTAGTGAAGCAAATTTAAAATATGCTAGGTCAGAAATGTAAATCGTGTCTTATTCAAACAAAATACGTGATTTCTTTCTTTGGTTGTATTGTCAATTTGAGCATAATTTAAAAGAAAGATAATATAACTTCTAGAAAGTCACTTGGATTTCAGTTATTCATATACAACGGTTTCACATATTCGTAAGTGGTAGCAGTGATGGTCCTAGATTTTCTTTATTTCCTTTTTTGTCTCGGTTATTCGTTTTGCGTGCTGTCTGTCACTGAAAAGCATTAACCCCTGGCAGCTCTTAGTTCCACCAGACAGTGTGCACATCTGCAGATGGCCTGGGCCTTGTTAAGGCTGTGCCTGCCGATTCCTGCTTTGGTTTTTCTCTGTATCTTAAGTTTGATGTCTTCGAGGAGAAGCACCCATCCCAGGGTATTCTAGCGATGCCCTTTTCTGATGTTCGGTCACCACCTTGTGAGTTTCCCAAGAGCAAGAGATGCTCAGTGGTCTCCTGCCTCCTCTTCCTAGGAACCATATCATATGCATGTACCACCATCGTCGAACCCACAGTCAGCTGAGGAGACGCCTCAGTTAGATTGGCCTGTAGCCAAGCCTGTGGAGCATTTTCTTGCTTGTGTATGAGCGCCAGTCTGTGTGAGCAGCGTCACCCCTGGCATGTAGTTCTGGGGTGTAGAAGAAAGCAAACTGAGCAAGCCAGGAGCAGCCAGCTGAGAATGAATGTTCTTCTGTGCCCTCTGCTCCAGTCCCTGCTCTGGTGACCTCAGGATGACGTGTGACCTGTGAGCTAGGTAACCCTTGTCTCCCTAAACTGCTGCAGGATACAGGTCTGTCTATCCTGATTGCTTGTTTAGGAGGCCAGAGCAACGTAGGCCTCTCCCAGGGCTCTCTCAGACTTGCGTATTGTGTTTCATCCTTACCAAATTAAAATAGTGACAGATTCCACATTCTTTACACAATTAACAAAATGTAATTTAAAATTTTACAGATTTTTGTTTGTGGAATGTTTTGAGATTTTCCAAAAGTTAAACTGAAGTTTCGTTCAAAATTTTTAATCTAAAGGCGTGTGCAGTGTTTACAGATTAGTTTGATCTGATGACGTGTGCAGTGTTTACAGATTGGTTTAATCTGATGACGTGTGCAGTGTTTACAGATTGGTTTAATCTCATGGCGTGTGCAGTGTTTACAGATTGGTTTAATCTGATGGCGTGTGCAGTGTTTTCAGATTAGATTGAACGTGTCTCCACTCTCCATTTCTCTCCCCCCCCCCCCAAATCTCTGACAGCTGTTTATTGTTCTGTGTGTTTCAGAACTGCCATTCCCAAAATGTCCTACACTTGAAAGCTCGCGGTATTTTCTCAGATTTACTTCTTAGGAGCACACATTATTTCAGTTCCATCCTTCTGTGTGTGGGATGCTTAGAGTTGGTAGCTCATTTCTTTTTATGGCTTCCATTCCTGTATGGATTTACTTAAGGATATCTTGGTTATGCCTGAATTTTGCATCTGTAGATGCAGCTAATATAAAATACACATTCAGGTTTGTAGGTTTTCTTGTAGATGTAAGCTTCTGGCTCATTTAGTCAAACTCAAAGAGTAGGATTGCTCGATCATACGGTGTTGTAGAGAGCCATTCTCAAGCATAACAGCCATCTTCATCACAGCTAGGACTGCTTACAAAAGACACATGCACGCACATACACACAGACGCCACACAGACACACACACCACACATACACCACATATATACACACACACCACACACATGTGCACACCGCATATACACACAACACACATACACCACATATACATACACAACACACATGCACACTGCATATACACACAACACACACGTGTGTACACACATATACCACATATACACACATACACACATGCATACTGCATATACACACACACAACACACCACACACACACACAAGCTGAGCTCAGACTTGTTGACGCGGTTAGTTTTCCTTAGAGTTTGGGGAGACTTAGTAGACCCTCACTGAAATTCCAGATTTCCTTCTTGTACCTCCCCGCCTTCTGTGTGTAACTGTCCTGTTTGCGCATGCCCTTGTGGTCTTGGAAGGCAGAGGGTACAGATCATGGACGGTTAACGGAAGCAGGGACTCCATCTACGTAGCTATGAGCGAGCTAACATCCATGTTGGGACAGGACAGTCTAGTGGTGCGGCTGCTCTACATTCACCCGCACCCCTCCTCGTACGTGCTCTGTAAGTAACCCCAGTAAAATCAGGGTTCCCCAGGTTCCACGTTAGTGGAGCTACTTCGGTTTCTTTGGTGTCCTGTAAGTAGGTGGCTATATATGATATATACATCATATATCTGTATATATGTATATACACACATATGAAAGTTCACCGTACACCTGGGAAGAGGGTGCTGCCGAAGTCCTTTGAGATGGGCGTCATTTCATGGCTGTTCAGTCTGTTTTCAAGGTTCTGTCCCAACACAGTTAAGGCCTTCCGGTGTTTGTGCATCAAGACACAGTTGCCTGTGTTGCTGGACTCATTGCAGTCTGCGTCTCTTTCAGGTTCAGCTCCCTCAGAAGAGCCAGGGTTGTTCTGCAGCATCTGGTAAGTTTGTACTGTGCTTTGCTGTTTATGATAGAACTTAAAAGTGTCTCTGTTAGGGAAGTAGGCAGGCCTGGGATGGCCGGTTTCCTTGGCTTCCTAACCACTGCCGTCAAGCTCCCGTGATGAGATGTGCCACCTCCTGAACACTCTGTGTTTTAAGGCTGTTTTAATGAGTATGGTTAAATCTGACTGTCTGCAACTTAATCTTAGTTTATTGTTGCTTTCTTTTATATATATGTGTGTGTGTGTGTATAAAATGAGGATAGTCTTTACCATACAGTGATTCAAAAATGTTAAAAAGGTATTACATTTTAAGACTTAGCGTGCGGGCTGGAGAAATAGCTCGGCAGTGGTTAAGATACTGACTATTCTTGCAGAGGACTGGGGCTCAGTTCCACGGTGGCTATCAACAGTATGTAACTCCAGTTCCAGGAGATCTTATGCCCTCTTCTGGCATCTGTAGGCACTGTGAGCATTTGGGACATAGACATACATGCTGTCAAAGCACCCATACACATAGAATAAAATTTAAAAATCTTAGAGAACACTGATACGGTATATAATGTATAAATAATAACTTTATATTTTAGCAGTTATTGCTAATAATAAATGTTAATGCCTTAGCAGTTATGCTAATTGTACCTTGTGAAGCTAAACATTTGTTGTTTATCAGATTACAGAAAAATCCTTTTTATTCAGGATTTTTATTGTATCTCCTGTAGAATCTGATGAATGCCTTAGTAGGAATGAGCACCTGCTATAGATCCATGTGCAGGAGCTGCGCTAAGTACGTCATACATGTACTAGCTCAACTAATCCTCACTGCAGCCTAAGAAGGGAGCCTGGAGCCCTCAGGTGCAGTTCTAGAGCCTCTGCAGTAAGAGCTTTTGTTGTTAGCTTGTGGTAAAAGCTCTTCTGGATGCAGTCTGATCTGAACGTGGATGCTAAGAACCTGTAGAAAAGTGTCTGGTTGTTTTCCTTGGCTCTGGACAGCATAGCCCTGGCTGTCCTAGAACTTGCTTTGCAGACCAGACTGGCGTAGGACTCAGAGATCTACCTACCTCTGCAGTGCTAGGATTAAAGGTGTGCGCCACCACCACCCAGCTTCATTCAATAAGCTTTCTTTTTTTTCCAAAGTGTTGTTCTGCCTGCAGGCCAGAAGAGGGCGCCAGATCTCATTACAGGTGTTTGTGAGCCACCCTATGGTTGCTGGAATTTGAACTCAGGACCTCTGGAAGAACAGCCAGTGTTCTTAACCACTGAGCCATCTCTCCAGCCCCTCAATAGGTTGTCTTAAAACTCTTCTAAGTACATATCATTTTTTTGGTTATTATGTGGTAATGAATTTTCATGAGAATTAAATATGTAACATAATTTTACACGGGTTTCTCCCAGCACCCCTGAGTCCTCCCTGTTACAGGGTGTGGTGGCATTCCCTGCCTCTATCCCAGACTCTCCAGGCCAGGGCCTGAGCTGCCCTTCCCCCAGAGGCTCTTCCCTGTACAATCCAGGCATTTTGGTTTCCAGCCCCTTTTGAACCTCTGGTCTCCTGGTTCTTGTACCTGGTTCTCCTCTCCCTTCCCGTCCCTGTCTCCCCACACGGCCCAGTTCAGTCTGGTCACGTCCACTCTGGACTCTCCCAGATATCACTGTCTCCGACTAAGTTCACCCCTGCATCTTACCTAGGAGGAATCACGGCCTTTTCTTCTTATTTCTTTCTCATTCTCTTTGCATGACTCTATTTCCATGTTTCTTATCGTACCCCGCCACTTTTAGTGGCACTGCCCTTTCTAAACGAGGTGCTGACTGCGCCTAGAGAAGCAGTGTGCTAGTCTACTCTGATTCTGACTGACAGCCTTTGGACAGAAGACAGCCGTGTCGGGGCTGCAGTCACACAGGTAGTGACATAGTAGTCCTTGCAGGAGACCCTGCCGATACTTGCACGGCGTCTTTCCAACGCAGAACACGCAGTTGCACTGAGGGCTAGCATCGTGGCATGTCCAGATGTTCATTGTTTATGGCTGGTCCGGGCCATCGTTGTACCTGGAGTTCTCACCTCCATTTGCCTCGTGGACACCACAGCCCTGCCCAGATGCTGCCTTTTCCAAGTTGCTCACAGCTACTATAATGAGAGTCATGTGCTGTCCACGTTTTCTAAGCGCCTGGTGTAGAATTTGAAATGTGGTAACAAGCTACAAGGTTTTGGGGTACTTCCTAGTCCGAGGGGCTCTAGGAAGAGGCCGTGTTTTAGATGAGTTGATCCAGTCCACGTAGACATGCAGAACTGAACATCCGGGAGGTGTGCATGGCTTGCTTTGGGATTGCTCCGTCTGTGTAGGCTGGGGATGCTAGGTGTCCCTGGTCACCACTTCTGTGGTTATCATTTGAAAGGTGTGCATGTGGTGTGTGTTTTGTTGTGGGCATTGATAAAACTTCCTGACGGTGTTCTTCGTTCACTCAGAGGATGTCCGTCCACACAGAAGCCCCGGAAGTGCTGCTGGAGAGGAGGGGCTGTGCAGGAGTCATAACACTGAACAGACCCAAGGTCCTCAACGCCCTGTCTATGAACATGATCCGGCAGATCTACCCACAGCTGAAGGTCTGTAATAACGGAAAGCCCCTGGAGATCCTTCTGAAGTATCCGGTAGGGGACACGCCTGGTATTTTGTCCTAGGACTCAGCAGCACACTGATGCGTTCCTGTAGAACCTGCCCACCCCACTCGCTGTCTTTAGGACACATGCTTTCTGCTTCCCGTAGGTCTTGTTTCTCATGGTCCACTCTTCACTTAAGCAGTGATGCTGACTGCTCAGGGCATTAGCTCCATGGTGTGGTGCAGGAGAAGGGTTACTGTAAATAAAAGAGAGACCATAGCCAGAGTCAGGGACATCTCGGAGAGCCCAGAGTGAGCATGACCCTGAGTTGGGCCATGTGAGGAACGCGGGGAGGGGAGAACCAGGAGAGTAAAGGGTAGACAGAAAAGACCCAGGCAACCAAAATGACTGGACTACGTGCAGAAGCTGGGTCGAGGGCAGCCTGGCTTCTGGTCTGCAGAAGTTTAGTGTAGAGAGTGGGATGCGCCAGCCATACCCCTTAATAGGAAGGGACTGAGGGATGCTAGGCGAACCTGGTGCCAGGTCCACTTGGATACAGTAAATCGGCCTGGGTTTGAGACCTAACATCCCAGCCCTTTTGCTGATAATAGATTATGGTAAGGGACAGTGTGATCTTTTTCATGACTGCTTCCTGACACTGGGGCATCCTTGTTGGGAACTCAGGAAAGCTGGAATGTTGGCCAGGACTGCAAGGGCCAAAGAAATGAGAAGGCAGCTGAAGTCTTGGGGAGAGCTGGGGTGCTTGTTGCTGTTAAAGCAACAGCCAATATTATTAGAGATCTGGAAAGGGTAAGTTATAGCAGAGGTATAACCCCAATTGCTTATCTGTCAATGAAAGTGATAGAGACCCACTCCCCAGACAGTTGCCCTAGGCTCCCGTGGTCTCAGTGGCTTCACTGAGGGCAGTCAGTGGTTATATGTATTTGACTGTCGTATGGGACAGCATTTAATCGTCTGCTGCCACACAGAGCAGCCTTGGCCGTGGACTACCAGACTCAGGTCTGTGGTGTTCCTGTGGAGAAACTCCGGGGACTGGCCTTACCATGACCAGGCCTTACAAGCAGAGTAGCGCAGTCAGCCCACAGGGCCGCAGCTTGGGCAGAGCCTGGACAGCAGGCGAGGCACGGGGCAGTGTTGCCAACTGTTTAGGGCTACCATAATTCAGGTGGCGTCTCTGCCCATCTCTGTTCTTTGGAGACCTTAGGTTCCTGCTAGAAGAGGGGCATTTCTGTCTTCTCTGGGAAACCTTTTCATTAAATGTTTTAAATGCCATATCCAACCTATCTCTGAAGAGTTTGAAGACTATGTATCCATCAAGCATACCTGAGTTTAGATTTCACTTTGGGAATGCATTAACCTGTATGTCTTAATTATCTTTAGCAGTTTAAATTGGTAACTTTTATAAGGCTAGGATTTTATATTTTTATCCTGTTAAGTTTGAACTTGAAAAATTGAAGATTTAACTGAAGAGCCTTTTGCATCAGTGTTATCATCCAGGAAAATATGCGGGCTCTGTGGAACTCTCTGATGCTTCTTGAACCTGGAGAGATGTCGGCAGAGCAGAGGACAAGGTTAAGTGTAGGGGGGAAAATTGTTTTTTTCTTTAGGTCGTGGTATTTGAGGAAGGAGGGTATCAAGACCAGAGGAAGCGGGGAGGCTTGAGCTGCTTAGGGCCTGGTAACTGAGGGAGGGGTGCATCTGATCTTGTCTGTTTGAGGTGAATCCTCCAAGTTGACTATCTGGAACTTGCAAGAATTCTTTGAGTTTTCGAAAACAGCGTTTTTTTAAAGACACACTAGCATTCCCATTGTTTATAATCTGTACTGACCTGACTTGTAGCCACTAAGAGCACTGTACACATGCACTATGTATTCACTTGTAGCACTAAGAGCACTGTACACATTCACTGTGTTCCCTTTTAAAAAGACCCTGCTCACTTCCCATCTCTTTCTCTCTGTCTCTGCCTGCCTGTCTGTCTGTCTCATTCTCTTCTCTTCTGCCACTCCTGTTCCCAGAAGATGGTCTCCCTTCTCCCCTCCCCCTCTTCTCATTCACTTTCCTGCAATTAAAAACCCTTTCCACCTGAGCTCTGTTGCATGGTGTCTTTCTCTTGTGCGCTGCTTTGTCTAAATTACAATATCAAAATAAAACTTTAAACCATAAATCAGTCCATGGGGACACTGGGAACTTTTCTGCTTATTTACTGAAAAGTTTTTATGTTCCAATAGACCTCTCCGCCAAAGCAATAATCCAAATCAAACTGAATTAGAAAAAGCCCAGATTTAATGGATGCCAGTGCCCCTGAGTAGCCTTCCAGTCCTCAGAGAGGAGATGGGAAGGAAGACTGGAAAACCACATGTTCATTCCCCAGTGGGGCAGTTTAAATACCCTGTGGGAGTGGTCGTGAGCCTCTTGGGGGAGAGGTCATCTTTTGGCAGACTTTATGGAAGGTGGAGTCTGGACTGAGGCAACTCCCAGAGGAGGGGGCTTGGGATGGAAAGTTCCACTCAAACATTCCAGACTTTTTGGATGCATGGATGCCAGGAGCTGAGGTGAAGCCTTAACTCAAGCATTCATTAAACTTATATTGTTGCTTATTTAAATTTTCTAGAAACCTTGTGTTGAACAGTTAGCAAAGACATAAGTAGTTAGATATATCTCTCTAAGTCAGCTTTTGTTAATCTGAGTAAACCCTTATAACCTTAACATTTTATCATCATACAAAAATCCGTACCAATCCAAATTATTTACGGAACCTGCTGTGTCTCCTTAGTCCAAAAAGGAGACATAATGATGAACAGAGAGTTCCTTAGGCACAAGAAGTTTCATAATCGCTGCTTTATGCCGTATGGTCATATTGAGATAGTGAAGTTACATGTCTTGCCCTCTTTAACCTTATTAAAGATGGCTGCCAGTCACGTGGTAACTTTCAAATCTCGATGAGGTCATCAGCTAAGATGGAAGAGAGCCACATGGTTGCTATTTAAAAAACATCTATTCTTCTAAACAAGAGTTGTATCCCAAGAGTTGAATAATGTGTTGTATCAAATTAAGATTATCTATGTATAGATTTTTTTAACTACTTTTTGTTACAAGCTTTAAGCTGACTTTTGATACAGATTTTTCAGATTCTTTAACCAGACCCATTGAAGTTACAAGTCCTGAGATGAGGACTGTTTACACAATAGTCTTGAAAGGTTTCTGGAGAGCAGAGCACAGAGAAATTGTAGAAATAAAAGGTTTAAGAATGGAAAGTTTAAAAGCTTTAGAAGAGGTACTTTGGGACCATTGCCTGTGCTGGCAGAAGCTGCTAAAATTTGTGAGAATTTGGAACTCAAGTGTGCTGTATTTAGCCAGGGAGCTGTACTGAGGCCAAGCCCTTTGCAGTGAGACAGAAAGGTTTTTATAGATTTTCTGAGTTTGAGAAGGAAAAGAGGAAGGGTTGCAAAAGGAATTCTGCCATAGGGAGGGTTACCTTCAGCTTTGAGAGGATTCCAATAGAGGGAGAAGAGTAAGCATCTTAGTAAGTAGGGGGTTGTCTATGTGATGGGGCCCCTAGAGGACATAGCAGGAAAAGCCCATGTGGTGAGGCCCCAGAGGACATAGCAGGAAAATGTCCATGTGATAGGCATCCCGTAGGGTGTTGCATGCTCTAGGATCTAGAGAGAGTATACTTACCGTAGGCAGGAGATGGCTCCACAGGTATATGGAGGGAAGACATGACTGAAAATTTAGACTCTAAGATTTGAAGCCTAATATGGTGGGTGGCAGAAGCCACCAGAAACAGATGATCTATTCACCCCTTAGGAGAGTCAAATCAGCTTGGTTTGGAGAGGTTGTGTCCCTTGGAAGGGAACTTACATATGCCAGTCCTGGGTTTTGGCACCAGATGAATGAAAAAAGGAAGTACCAAGGAAGGACATGACTGCTCCTCAGCATGATGGAGAAGGTTTGCATAGATAGAAGAGAGGGCATAGACAGAGACAGGGACATCCAGGAGAGTCCAGAGTGAACATGGTCCTGCATCCGGATGGAGAAGGTTTGCTGTAGATAGAAGAGAGAGCATAGACCTCAAGGACATCCAGGAGAGTCCAGAGGGAACATGGTCCTGCATCTGGATGGAGAAGATTTGCGTGGACAGAAGAGAGGGCATAGACAGAGACAGGGACATCCAGGAGAGTCCAGAGTGAACATGGTCCTGCATCTGGATGGAGAAGGTTTGCGTAGATAGAAGAGAGGGCATAGACAGAGACAGGGACATCCAGGAGAGTCCAGAGTGAACATGGTCCTGCATCTGGATGGAGAAGGTTTGCGTAGATAGAAGAGAGGGCATAGACAGAGACAGGGACATCCAGGAGAGTCCAGAGTGAACATGGTCCTGCATCTGGATGGAGAAGATTTGCGTAGATAGAAGAGAGGGCATAGACAGAGACAGGGACATCCAGGAGAGTCCAGAGTGAACATGGTCCTGCATCCGGCCATGTGAGGAGAGAGAACAGGGGTACCTCTCTGGCTCCTGGAGCATGCCATGCCACGCCACATAGGCATATTCCTGGTGTGCTCTTTGGTCTGCCCACCATGTGGTATCTCCCTGTTATACCCTCTGGGGCCCTACTACATGGGCAAAGAGACTAAAGAATAGACAAAAAAGGGCCAGGTAAACAAAATGGTTGGATTTTAGATTAATTCTGTTATATGTATATTTCTGGTCTTGATTAAGGTATTGTGTTTATGTAGCTCATTTAAAAATGTAATGTATAATTAAGAAATATAGGTTAATAGTCATCTATAATAGTCAAGCTTGTAGTCATATTAGTTAGGTTTTCTAGATGTACAGAGATGTATTTCAGAAGGATAGGTATTCTTCAGATCTTTCAAAGACTACAGAATATGACATTTAAAATGTTTAAGAACTTAGGACTTTTCATGACATTGAGACACATCTGCTCCTGGCAGCACCAAGCTACCATGAGGTCTGTGGCCTACTGTCAAGGTTCCAACTGGCAACTCACAGCTTTCTCCTCTGGTGGCCCCACATTGGGTGCAAATTTGTTGAGAGAGGGTACTTGTTTGTTTCCCGACTGCCCAGACTCTCAAAGTAATCACACAGAAATCTGTATTAATTCCAGTACTGTTTGGCCAATAGCTTATGCGTATTTCTAGCTAGCTCTTACATCTTAAATCAACCCATCTCTATTAGTTTGTATATCACCACAAGGTTGTAGCCTGCTGGCAAGGTTCCAGGATCTGTCTCTGGCGGCAGCTACATGGTGTCTCCCTGACTCTGCCTGCTCTCTCAATGTATATCTTTTACAGCCTGGCTATATTCTGTTAAACCATTGGCTGAAAGCAGCTTCTTTATTTTTTTTATTTTTTTTAAGACTTATTTATTTATTATGTGCACAACATTCTACTTGCATGTACACTGCAGGCCAGAAGCCAATTACGGATGGTTGTGAGCCACCATGTGGTTGCTGAGAATTGAACTCAGGACCTTTGGTAGAGCAGGCAATGCTCTTAACCTCTGAGCCAATTCTAAATTGCTCCCAGCAGCTTCTTTATTAACCAATGTCAATAAGACATATTCACAGCATATATTACCTCCCACATCACGACATTAGAAAGTGTAGGGCTGAAAGTCAGGCTCGTATTTGAAACTTGGATTTCTGAGTATTAAACTCTGTAACTGACTAGGCACGTCAGTCTCTGCTCCCCACTTGGATTTCTGGGTATTAAACTCTGTAACTGACGAGGCACGTCAGTCTCTGCACCCCACTTGGATTTCTGGGTATTAAACTCTGTAACTGACGAGGCACGTCAGTCTCTGCACCCCACTTGGATTTCTGAGTATTAAACTCTGTAACTGACGAGGCACGTCAGTCTCTGCACCCCACTTGGATTTCTGAGTATTAAACTCTGTAACTGACGAGGCATGTCAGTGTCTGTACCCCACTCTCCTCAGCTGTGAGGAAATGAGAGCGGTGATCTGTCGTAGTGCGGTTATAAAGCGAGCACTGCGTCACTGACCAGCTCCCCACAATCTCATCGTGCTCAGTTTATTGCCTGACCTCACCAAACCCCCATCCACCACATATTTAAAAACTTTGTAAATAACTTAACAGTGTAATAGTATTTTTCTGGTATAACAGTGCTATCTTGCTATGGGGAAAAGTTATTCCTGCACCTCATGCCCCCACTCTTTGGGTGGATGTGTTCACTAGACAAATGTATATAAATGTATATAACACAGTGCCATTAGGCACCTGTTTATTCATCTTAGTATTAAAGCTTTGACAGCTCTTTCTGGAACACAGATTGCACTTAGAAAGAAAATTAAGTGGATAGAATCCATTCCTCTGGATGTCTTTTAGGAAAGGCCATGTGCGCACACAAATGGATGTGAATGTGTCTTACATGAACTTAAGCCACCATCATCTTTTATGTTTGTGTAGAAGTGGGAACAAGACCCTGAGACGTTCCTGATCATCATAAAGGGAGCTGGAGGGAAGGCCTTCTGTGCTGGAGGAGACATCCGAGGTAAAGTGCCCACTGTGCGCCCTTACCCTGCTGGAGCCAGTAAGCTCTGAAGATGCGTCAGGCGATTGTCATTGGATTTGCATTTTAGAATTATTTGCTGTATGTTAATAATTCTTTACAAGTTTGTTACCATTTGAATGGAGATTTTATTTACTGCCCATGTGCAGGGCTGAAATGTAGGTACTTTGTTTTCCTCTTACGGCACGTGTCCCCCGTGACATCCCCATCAGTGCATGTGGAGGACTTCCCATCCCCACCACTCACCGTCCAGAGCAAGTGCTCCTTGAGCCGATTGCTAATGCTTCTATGTGTTTAAAGACACATAGATAAAAAGTTGCTTTTTATATTCAATTAGTCCATATGTATTTAACTATTCAAGATAATGTTTGTTCTTGTGATGAGAGTTATGAAATCATTGCTGTCACTGATGGCTGTCCCTGCTGAGAAAGGTTTTTACAGTTTATATGTCATTTCTTATGGATTTGGTAGGGTTCAGGGATTTTTTTCCCCCGTGTTCTGATTTTGCCTGTTTGTTTTATTATTAAAAAACAACAAACTTTGGGTTGATTTGTTCACCAAATTTGCAAGTTTCTATAAGCCATTGCATTATGAGTAGGCAGGGAAAAAAAAGTCTAGATTCAGGACCAAGTTCAGATGCCCACTCAGTTTTAAATAACTGAAATATTGTGTTAACTGAACTGTGGTTTTGCCCACAACATAAATTGAATATGCACATGTGCATGCCTATGTTGTGCATGCATGTGTGTGTGCCTTTGTGCCTATGACTATGTATGTGAGTGCCAGTATGCCTGTGTCTGTATGTCTATGATATCCCATGTGTATGACTATGTGTGTGAGTATGTGTACCTGTATGTCTGTGTACCTGTGTATGTGTGCTTGCTTGTCTGTGTGTGCCTGTGTCTGTGTGTTGTGTGACTGTGTGTGTGTGCACACCTAGGATCTCATGCATGCCTGTGCTCTAGCCCTTAAGAACCATAGCATGAATATTTTCAGACAGTGTTCACACCCCTGGGGAGGGCCTGTTCTTTAGAGTGGGGCCATGGTTCTGTCTGTTCCCACACAGGGAAGCCCAGTGTGTGGGGGCCACGGTTCTGTCCGTCTCCACACAGGGAAGCCCAGTGCGTGGGGGCCATGGTTCTGTTCGTTCCCACACAGGGAAGCCCAGTGCGTGGGGGCCATGGTTCTGTCCGTTCCCACACAGGGAAGCCCAGTGTGTGGGGGCCACGGTTCTGTCCGTCTCCACACAGGGAAGCCCAGTGCGTGGGGGCCATGGTTCTGTCCGTTCCCACACAGGGAAGCCCAGTGCGTGGGGGCCACGGTTCTGTCCGTTCCCACACAGGGAAGCCCAGTGCGTGGGGGCCATGGTTCTGTCCGTTCCCACACAAGGAAGCCCAGTGCGTGGGGGCCATGGTTCTGTCTGTTCCCACACAGGGAAGCCCAGTGCGTGGTGGCCACGGTTACTGTCTCCACACAGGGAAGCCCAGTGCGTGGGGGACACGGTTACCATCTCCACACAGGGAAGCCCCGTGCGTGGGGGACACGGTTACCATCTCCACACAGGGAAGCCCAGTGCGTGGGGGACATGGTTACCATCTCCACACAGGGAAGCCCAGTGCGTGGGGGACATGGTTACCATCTCCACACAGGGAAGCCCAGTGCGTGGATGAGGCTAGCTGCTCATTGTGAGCTGTCCTCGTTTGAGTCTCCGTGGCTGTGACGCAGCATTGGCAGCTCACAGGGGAAGGGTTTATTTTGGCACATGGTTCCAGGGCAGTCCATGACGGGAGGAATGGCAGCCAGAGCAGTGCAAGCAGAAGCCCAGAAAACAAACTGGAAGTGGGGTGAGACCGTGACCCCTCAAAGCTTGCCCTAGTGACAGTTTCTTCAGCAAGACTGTACCTTCCAGAGTCGCTCAAAACAGAACCACCAGCCTTAGACCAAGTGTTCAGGTATCTGACGCTGTGGGGGGACCTTTCACATATAAATGCCACATGGAACTAACTTTATATTCTGGTTTATAAATATAGTTTTAAATTCCAGGATTATTCTAGTTTATATGCACAAAACAGTGTGAGTTCTAGAATATTCTACAAGAAGTATATACTCGGGAAAATATTAAAGGTGAATGTTATTTAATTTTAATATATATATGCCTTAGTTAATGTTTCTGTCGCTGTGAAGAGACACCATGCCCACAGCAACTCTTATAAGGAAAACATTTAACTGGGACTGACTGATGGCGTGCAGGCAGATTGGGTGCTGGAGAAGGAGAGAAACCTGGCTCTGTAGGCAGCAGGAAGAGAGTGAAACAGCCTGGGCTTGAGCTTCTCCAACCACAAAGCCTGCCCCCAGTGAGACACTTCCTCCAACAAGGCCACGCCTCCTCCTGATAGTGCCACTCCCTGTGAGCCTACCTGGGCCCTTTTCATTCAAACCACCACAATAAATAATTAGTTGATTTAAATGAAATTAGCTTAAAATAAAATTAGAAGGAACTCTGAGAAGGCTTGGGGAAAAGTGACTTTGAGTTGCTAAGTGAGTCTAACTCAGCAAAGGACGTTTATTTAGTAGGTTATGGAAGTGAAGGAGAGGAAGGGGAAGAGGAGAGAGAGAGAGAGAGAGAGAGAGAGAGAGAGAGAGGAGCTGAGGCTGCAGGCAGGGTGAAGGGAGGGAGGGGGTGGGTAAGGCTTGTCTCTTAAAGGGACAGGACAGACCATTACTGCTACATTCTCCTAGCTGCTTCTCCTCACTTTTTCCTAGGAGCCTTGAAGTGATAAATTACAACAGTTGTCTCTCATTGGTCAAAAGCACATTCCTGGGGCAAGCAATAGGTATTGAGCCATTGCCATAGGGATTGAGCCCTTGCCATAGGGATTGAGCCATTGCCATGGCAATACAAGGGTCCAAGGTCACAGATGTGAGACTGTGACCAGAGGGCAGGGGCAGTGTCCGCTGAGATAAGCTTTGAGACATAGGTCTTTTGTTAACAGACTTGGCAAGCAAAGAATTGGCATGCTTTTCTTTAGTAACCTTAGTTGGACATCTGCAGCTCTGACCTTGTGCATAGCTGTAAGGTTTTAAACTTAAGGTCTGTTTACCAAAGGCCTTTAGTCTAGTTTGAACTTGTTTTGAGGTGAAAGTGAGCTAATTGGTGTGCAATTAGTCTGAGCCAAAGAGTAAAACAGGCTTTTTAAGTGTCCACAGTCCTTGTGGGACAAATAGATCCAGTTATGAAGCATGGCCCAGAATATATTCTATATATCAAAACTATATAACTAAATGAAAAGTCATCTTCATTTAGGTATATGTACCCATAAGATTGAGATGCAATCATGAGATGACATATCCATGTCACAGGAGATTGCACACTACGGTATTGGGAAGACTACATATACACATCGCAGGAGATTACACACTACAGTGCAGGTATTGGGGAGAACTACATATACACATCACAGGAGACTGCACACTACAGTGCAGGAGATTACACACTACAGTGCAGGTATTGGGAAGACTACATATATACATCACAGGAGATTACACACTACAGTGCAGGTATTGGGAAGACTACATATATACACCACAGGAGATTACACACTACAGTGCAGGAGATTACACACTACAGTGCAGGTATTGGGAAGACTACATATATACATCACAGGAGATTACACACTACAGTGCAGGTGTTGGGAAGACTACATATATACATCACAGGAGATTACACACTACAGTGCAGGAGATTACACACTACAGTTCAGGTATTGGGAAGACTACATATACACATCACAGGAGATTACACACTACAGTGCAGGAGATTACACACTACAGTGCAGGTATTGGGAAGACTACATATACACATCACAGGAGATTACACACTACAGTGCAGGAGATTACACACTACAGTGCAGGTATTGGGGAGACACCAAGCCGCCTTAGCGAATATGAGCAACAGTTTCCAGAGTCGATGGTCCTGCAGGCCTTGCCTGGACAGGATCAACCTTCATCAGAGAGTCACTCATCTTGGGTGGACATCTGAACACTTGCTGTCACCTGCTGTAACTCTTATGTCCCCTGACAGAAAAGAATATAGAGACTGTGACCTGCTTTAGGGATAAGTTCTTGTGTCTGTGACCTACCTTGAAGGACTTAAGGAGTCAGGAACTGTGGGTGAAAGTCTGTGTTTGTGTATGTGTATATGTATTTGCACGTGTGCATGCATGAACGCTTGTGTACATATGCGTATGTTAACAGCACAATAAGTAAAAGAAGAATTTTTTCTTTGAAACTTTGACATTGAACTGTGGGTCTCTGACAAAAGGTAATATGTCCCCAACATAGGTGGCTTCAAACATTAACACCATCTGAAAGTTCCCCTCCCTCTAGCATTTACTGATGACAGGACTTTAGTATCTCTGGCTGTATTGACTGGAAGCCATCTGTATGATTTGTAATTGTTCTTTCTTTGTTTTTTCTCTTTTCCTTCCTTGTTTAGTGCTCTCAGAAGCTAAAAGAGCAAAGCAGAATTTGACTCGGGTTTATTTCAGAGAAGAATACACCCTGAACAATGCCATTGGTATGTGTAGGATCCGCTCCGAGCTCTGAGAGTGAAATCCAGAGCTGGGATAGCACTGTGATTTGTTAGACTGCAACCAGTATGACCAAAACATAGTAATGTCATACTGATACAATTATTCTGTGTTTGTCTAAAATCAATGTGAAAATATGGATTCTTGATCCTTTAGCTACCTTTCTCGGGAGACAAGAAAACACGTATTCCTAGTTTCTAAAGAAAATGAAGTACCATTTTGTGTTTCTCCAGGAACTCTGGAGTGGGAATTCTCTTTAGAATCAGAATTCTAAAGTGAAGTAGAGTTTACTTCAGACAAACATGTTTTGAAAAGATAATTAATACAGCATTTGTATCTATAGTCTAGACATAGTAGCAATATTCTGATTTTGCATGCTGTTGTAAGAACAATGCATCTTAAAGCTACAGTTCAGCCCTCTTGTGGTTTTCTTTAGTGTCATTCCTTTTTTCAACCAGAGCTTGTTCTTCACTAACCTGGGGCCTCCTGACCTTTTTGATATGAGTCTTTCTCTCATGAATCTGTGGAGTTAGATCTTATAGCGGAATACCATTAGTGTTCAGGGGATTTTAGAACATTAACAGCACGTTGTGGTTAAACCAACTTACCGAGCAGTGTGCAGATATTCCCTGACTTAGGATGGGAGTTGTATCCAAATAAGCTGCAACTAAGTTGAAGGCACTGCAAGACATTCAGTATATCCAACCTGTAGAATCCAAAGCTTAACACCGCAGTTCACTGTTCAGTGCTGGTCGCTGACCCTTTACTTCTCGACTGTCCAGCATTGTCAGTATACCTAATACTGTCTAGCCTACATTTTTACATACGAGGTCATTTGGTTTTTACTGTTAGAGATGGTTTATTGCTACTCTAGTGACCGAATGCTAAGTTTATTTTTAAATAATATATGGAATGGATATGCTCTATAGCTTCACACTGTTTCTGAAATTTCCCAGAAATAGAAGACTTTTGTACACATCTTTTGTTTTGACTACTCTTGGATTTTTTAAAGTCTTCTCTTTTAACTTAATAATTGTTTTGTCTAGTTCTAAAAATTTTTTTTAGAAGTCTGGGAATATGTAACCCAAAGGCCTGAGGTTTATTCCCTAGCCTTGAGACAAACAGACAGACAGACAGATGACAGACAGACAGACATAGGGAGGGGGGAGAGGGGAGAGAGAGAGAGAGAGAGAGAGAGAGAGAGAGAGAGAGAGAGAATATATGAGAATGAGTGACTATGAGAACAGAGTGAGTCCAGCCAGTCAGGACCTGTGGAGGCTTGGACTGGAAAGACGGTGACTTGTTCCACCTAGCCTGGGGAGAACTGAGCTCTTTGACAGGAGTCATCTTTGTGAATGTTTGGGGAGTTATGGTTCACAGCATAGTACCATCAACAGTCTGTGGTTTTTAGGAAATCAACCAGGAGTGAAGCTGCATGTGTGCTGTCCATTTTGAGAGCCACCGAACACGTGAGATGTGGCTGATGGAATCAAGAAACTCAGTTTTAAATGTTGTTTAATTACAATTTGAATATAAGTGATTCCATGTGGATAATGACCACTCATTTTTTCATGGGATAAAAAGGAAATAGAAGGTGTTTAGGCAGTGTAAAGTATATTAATAGTATCAAAAAAAAACATAAGGTAAAATTTCTGCATGTAGTGATATTATAGTCAGTAAAAGATATGGCAGATTCTGGCTTCATGTCCTACATTAATTGTTGTCTAATAGTTTATATTTGAAATAACTCACTTCTATAGTAGTTGGCAGGGAGTCAGTGTATTTACCTCCACCACAATCAATAACTTCTATAGTTTCTAAAGAGCTGCAGATAGCTTGTGAGTGTGAAGTCTGAGTTGTGCTTTGTTTGTGAATACTTCAGGAATTCCCAGATGTATCAGAACGTGGGTTTATCCTGGCTTTCATCGGGGGTAGTCCTGACAGTAAGCTGTGGCAGAAGCCCCGGAATTTATGTTACTCTGCTCTCTCTGCCAACTCTCTGAGAAGGGAAACAGAGATAGTAAAAGTGTGGGTGACTAGTGGGGTTTTCAAGCAGGGTGGAGTGTTTGAGGATGTGTGTTAAATCTTATTTTATAGATGAGGACACAATTTCCCAGATGATGTTCATGAGGCACCCTTATCAGATGTGTGTTAAATCTTATTTTATAGATGAGGACACAATTTCCCAGATGATGTTCATGAGGCACCCTTATCAGATGTGTGTTAAATCTTATTTTATAGATGAGGACACAATTTCCCAGTTGATGTTCATGAGGCACCCTTATCAGATGTGTGTTAAATCTTATTTTATAGATGAGGACACATTCACAGATGATGTACATGAAGCACCCTTATCTGACATGTGTATGTCATATGTAACACATGCGTTTATCTCATTATTTCATAATCAAGCAGAGACTGGAATCTGGGTTTTGTCACCCCACTCTGGGATTGTTCTTTTTTTTTTTAAAAAAAATATTTATTTATTATGTATACAATATTCTTTTTGCGTGTATGCCTGCAGGCCAGAAGAGGGCACCAGACCTCATTACAGATGGTTGTGAGCCACCATGTCGTTGCTGGGAATTGAACTCAGGACCTTTGGAAGAGCAGACAATGCTCTTAACCGCTGAGCCATCTCCCCAGCCCTTCTGTGGTTGTTCTTGCACGGTGTACTTCTCTGCATGTATCCGATGCTTTCATTGTATAGAAAGCAAGTATGTTCTTAAAGCACAGCTGGGAGTGTGGTTTATAATAGAGATGTTAATCATTTTTCTTCATTGTCACATAATACAAAACATTCATTTGCTTCTGACTTAAGACAGTTATTAATCAGCAGTGATTATTTTATCATAAGTGTGAGTGAATTGACATTTAAATACACATTACAAATCACATAATAGTCTTCCTTGATACCCCTTTAAGCATTCGCCAGGGAAACTAGAGTACACATGATGTGACTGTTTGGAAAGTAGGTGTAGTTTATATATTCTAACTTAAGCTCTCTCTCGTTTAGCTACTTGTCAGAAACCATATGTCGCCCTCATTGATGGGTTCACAATGGGTGGGGTAAGTGGACTTTTTCTCATTTTCATTGTGTGAGCTGTATTAAAATAAGGTAATGATTATTTCGTATAAGTGAGACACGGAATGCAATACAGTACAGCTCAGTGAAACGTGTATGTTTCAGTTTCAGATCCTGGAAGATTTGGTGTATTGGAGCCAAATGAATATTCCATGTTTTTAATTATGCTATAATCTATTTTAACCTCTGTAATTATCAGACTCTCTTAGGCCACAGAAACTGATTGTACTTTTAAAAACGTACTTGTGTGTGTGTGCGTGCATGCATGTTTGTGGTGTAGGGGGATAAAATTGAGACTCTGCAGGCAGGCATGTGCCGTGCTGCATGGGTGGCAGTCAGAGGATAGCTTGTCTATCAGCTTCACCTTCTACTGTCCTTGAGCCAGGCCTCTTGTTATTTTTCTGCTGCATATGCAAACTTCAGTGGTTCTCCTGATTTTATTCCCATCTCCTTTGAAGAGCCCTGGGTTTAGACACCTGGCTGTATGTAGGTTTTGGGGATCCACACACAGATTCTCAGGCCTCTGCACCAAGTGCTTTGCCCATGAGCCCTTTGTCCAGCTCTGCCCGCACTGGTCTCTTTACATGTGGGACGTGCAGTGAACTCGGGGCTGCGTGCACACTATGCAAATGTTCTTACACGAAATCCTTAGCCCTTGCCTTTTGAGGCAGGGCTTTAGTATATAGCCCAGGCCAGCTACGAACTTGTAGCGGGCAACCTTGAGCTGAAGACATTCCTGCCTCTGCATCCCCAGTCTACATCGCTGCAGCCCACTCTCCTGCTGACACATTACCAGAGTGCTTCCGTAGTGCTGGGAGAAAACTCCATTAGACCTGCAGTAGCGGGAGGTGGCTCACTGAATTGTTCCCGCCCTGTAACATTTCACAGTCGTCTCCTCTGAGACAGGGTCGTCCCCTGAGCTTAGGTAGTCTTGGTTTCTCAGGCCTTTGGCTTTTCCCAGGTGCGGGGGGTTGCAGGTGTATGCCACTAGACCCAAGCCGGTGTTCTTAAAAATGTGTTCCTTTCAGTTGACACATGCGTTACTTGGTGCCTGTGCCATCACAAAAAAGACTTGGATGTGCTTTGAAGTTGGAGGAGACATGAAATGATTACAGACCAGATGGCAAATTGTCTGGTGCCGACTGTCACAAATTCTAGTCCCCACAGAATGAGGGGTCAGGAAGGACCTGCAGGGCAGAGAGAGGACCGTGTGGAGAAGTCGGGGAATTGAACTGACCTGGAAAGGCAGTGTGGGCAAGAGAAGACAACCTGAGAAAACCCATCTTTCTCTGTGTGGGGAGAGGACGAGTGCACCTGGGAGGTCAGAGGGCAGCCCACGGGAGTCACTTTCTCCTTCCTCCACGTGGCTTAGGCACTGAGGTCAGCTCCTCAGACTTTGGTGACCACTTTTACCCATGGAGGAATCTCTGAGCCTAGTAGAGTCCAGAGAGATTGGGGATGGGAAAATAGCAGGCCACTGTTTTAGAGGAAATGGATACCCTGGAGCTGCAGAGAGCCCAGGGGATGAGTGTAGGCCAACTGTAGGAGAGGGAAATAGAGGGATGGCCTCAGGTCAACGCTTTCCTGTAAAGGGAAGAGGAAAAACCCACCAGGAGAGAGGGAAAACCTCAGAAGATAATGAGCTGTCCCAAGGCCACTCCCAGGGAGCAGAGGGAGTCCTCTGTCACAGACAGGGAGTGTTCTCAGATGAGCAGAGGTCTGGCAGCTCCTTTGACAAGGTGCAGGGGTTAGATACAGGGTGTTAAAGATTGACTAGTTAATGCAGTAAAGACGGAAGGCTTTAAGACCTTCCTTGTATAGCAGAGAAGCATCTCCAAAATTAATAGTTAAATAAAATACAACATTAAGCTTTAGAATTTTTTTGAAAACTATTTATTTATTTATTTATTTTGAGTCAGGATCTTGGTATTCCATGGAGGCCTCAAGCTCTGTGGAGCTGAGGATGACTTTGAATTTCTGAACCTCTGCCTTTGCCTCCCTAGTACTAAAATTACAAGTTTCTACTTGATTTTCTGCAGTGCTTGAGATTGTACCCAGGACTTTCTGTAGACCTCCCATACAGCCCTCCTATCTACTCCTCCCTTCTCGCCTCCAAATTCATGGCCTTTTCTTACTACATAAGTGCACGCGCGTGCACACACATACACACGTGTGCCTAAATACAACCTGCTCAGTCTGTATGTTATTTTTGTGCGTGTTTTCAAGGCTAACCACTGGGCGTTGGCTAACCAAATCTTTTAGTAGCCAACTTGGAGAAGTTTTATAACTGGTCTCACTAAATGCTGCATGTTAGAATAATGATATGGCTAATTTTATTTGATAAAATAGGTTAAGAAATGTGTTAAATATTCTCTTCAAAATTATTTAAATTTTCTATAAGTTGATCAAGCTTTTATGGTTATTAATACAAGTAATAAGCAGTACTGAGCTTCTGCAGAGGGCGGGTATCTGGTAGTGCTGGGAAGACCCAGCACACAACACAGACCACTGCCGGAAACTGCCCACTTAGAGCAGGCCAGGCTCGCCTGGCAGAGATACCTGTGTAGTTTTGTGTGGAAAGTTCATGGTGAGGCTTGGGGTTTCCTTCAGCCCACGTGCTGAAGCAGATTGCTGTGGAATGTAAGGTAACACCTGCTTGCTTTGTAATACTTGTGTGTTAATCTCTCCATTTTTACCACATGTTAAGGCATTTGTAATACTTGTGTGTTAATTTCTCCATTTTTACCACACGTTAAGGCATTTCTTCCCCTTTTTCCCTAGGGAGTTGGTGTTTCCATTCATGGGCGATTCCGAGTGGCTACTGAAAGAACCCTCTTTGCAATGCCAGAAACGGGAATAGGTAAAACACCAAAAAAGCTTTTGTAATTCCTTTTGAATCACATTTCTTTACTACTTCTCAGATTATTTTATAGATATACATATGTAGCCAGAAGACGCCATATGAGATACCACAATAAAAGAACTTACAAAAATGATACTCTATATTAGCTCAGTAATTATAGCACAGCTAAGCCCATAATACTAGTTCCCTGTCGTTAATCTCAGGTAAGGTTAAAAAAATAAAAAAATACCCTCCCATTTCCATTCATCGGTCAACATTACTATTTTGTGTTAAAAGTGAGTCACCCTAGCAAGGTTTGTTGAAAGGGCCCCTGTGTCTTCAGTCAATCACTGTGGTCCCCGCCAGATGTGTGTGCTCTCTGTGGAGGTGCCTGCTGCTCTCCATTGCAGATAGCTTTTGGTTTGGGTTGTGTTCACTTGCCCCTCAGTGCTGAGACCCCATATAGCGTGGTCCCGCGCCAGCCTTCTCCATGCTGCTGTGGTCTCTCCGAGTTCGTGTGAATGTCAATCCTGTTGTGACTGGAAGACAGTCTTTCCCTCTACTCACCCGCCACCTCCAGCCCTTAACAGTCTTCCTGCCTGCTCTTCCTGACAGACCCCTGAGCCTTGAGTGTCTGACAAAGACATCCCGTGTAGGGTGCCAGTCTCTCTCACTCTGCACACTGTCTTCCTCGTGTCTCCTCCTCCCTAGCCCTTTTTCAGGTACCTAACCTCTGGTGATTCAGATTGCAGTCTGGATAGCGAAAGCTTAGAAGCTGACATTTGCACACAGTATTGGTCTTTTTGCTCTGAGTTACCTCACTCAGAATGAGTTTTTGCCTAGCTGCATTGTGTAAATTGTACCACATTTTCACAATGTGTTCATGAGCTGATGTACATTTCGGTATTTCCAGTTTGGGGCTATTAAGAATAGAGCAGTAATGAGCGTGGTTAAGCAAGTGTCCTTGTGACAGGATGGAGAGTCCTCTGGGTATATGCCCGGGAGTGGGTAGCTGGTTCTTGAGTTAGATCGATTTCCATGTTTTCTGTGCTAATCCTACTGATCCATGAGCACTAGGAGATCTTTCCATCTCCTGATGTCTTCTTCAGTGTCTTAGAGTTTCTATTGTGCAAGTCTTCTGCTTGCTCAGTTAGAGTTATCCTGAGATATTTTTTGTTGAGGCTCTTGTAAAGTTACTATTTCCTGCATTTCTTCTTTCCCAGTATGTTTGTCATTTGTATATGGGAAGTCTACTCATTTGCGTGTGTTGATTTTATGTCCCGCTACTTTGCTAAAAGTGTTTAAACAGCTGCAGAAGGTTTCCTGGTGGGGTTTTAAAGCATCATTTGTGTATCCAATCATATCGTCTGCAAATTAAGATACTTTGACTTCTTCTCCAAATTGCATCTCCTTGATCTCCTTCAGTTGTTTGGTTGCTCTAGCCGAGACCTCCAGTTCTATGTTGAGTAGGGATGGAGAGAGTGCACTACCTCATCTTACTCTTTATCCCCATCTAAGTTGTTGTTGACTGTAGGCTTGCTGTAAGTTACCTTTATTAATAGGTATGGCCCACGTATCACTAGTCTCTCAATCCTGCATCTCTGGGATAAAGACAAGTTGATAATGATAGATGTTTGCTTGGATTTGGTTTGGGAGTAATTTACTGAGAATTTTTGCATTTATATTCGTAAGGGGTATTTGTCTAAAAGCTTTTTTGTTAGGTTTTTGTGTCACTTAGATATTGGGGTATTAGTGGCTTCTTAAAAGCAACTAGAAAGTGAACCTTCAGTTTCTATTTTGTGGAGTATTTTGAAGAATATTGGTCTTAATTCTTATTTGAGGGACTGGTATAATTCTGCGATGAATCCATCTGGCTCCCTGAACTTTTTTGTTGTTGTTGTGAGATTTAATTGCTTTTATTTCATGAGGGGTTATGGGCCATTATACATTGCTTATCTTGACTTAATTCTGGTAGGTCATTTATATCAAGGAATTCATCTGTTTCTTCTAGATTCTCCACTTTAGTGAAGTATAGATTTTTAAAACTATCCTTATGATTTTCTGAATTACCATGGTGTCTGTTGTGTCTTCCTTTTCTTTAATTTTATTCAGTTGGAGCTTCTGTCTATTAGTTGGTTTGGGGATGTGTTTGTCAGTCTTGTTGACTAGTCTCAAAGAACCATCTCTGTTTCATTGATTCTTTGTATTGATTTTGTTATCATTTTTATTTCATTGACGGCAGCCCTGAGTTTATTTCCTCCCATCTACTGTTTGGGGTATTATGTCTTCTTGTTGCTCTAGAGCTTTTAGGCGTGTGGTTAAGTTACTAATACGAGAATCCACTACATCTTTGTTAGCTTGAGGAGTATTCCTTCCATATTGCTGAAGAACGGGCATTGGTCCCTTCTTCACACACTGTACTGAGGAGCTCTAAGGGGAGCCCTGGATGGGGTGACCCTGAGGTGTGACTAGGGACAGCACCAGGCCATTTGGTTTGTGCTCCTGGGCAGAGGAGGCAGGTCAGGAAAGAGCACTGTAGTTGAAGGGATGCGAGCCCAGAGCTGTTTTACCTGTGGAGATGCTGGCTCACCATGTGACTGCAGAGAAGACAGCCCTGAGTTTGGTGTTTGAGGGAGAAGGCACAGCTAGGTTTGAGGCTGTTCATCAGCTTGAGCCTATTCGACAGGACCGCAGACTGCTTGGCTTAAAGCAGCACATTGGTTCTCACATCTCTTGGGGCTGAGAGTCAAGGTCAAGCTGTCTTCATGTGGCCTTTCCTCCATGTGTGGATCTCTTTCATAAAGATAGTTCTGTTGGTTTATGGCACCCCCTTGCACTCCCACATACCCGAATGTCTTGGACCTTTTCATTGGGCAAAACCAGCTCCCCAGTAATAACATAGAAACTTATTCATTATAAACGCTTGCCCATAGCTTAGGCTTGTCCTAACTAGCCCTTACAACTTTAATAAACCTATTTCTATTCATCTGTGTGGCCTTTTGGCTTTACCTGCCCTCCAGCTTGTCTTGCTCGCCCTGCATCTCCTGGTGACCCCGCCTTTCTCCTCCCAGAGTCCTCTGTGCCTGGGTGTTGGCCTGCACTTTCTGCCTAGCTAATGGTCATTTAGCTGTTTATTAAATTAAGGTCTTTACAGTGTACAAAGGGATTATTCCATAGCACCTGAAGCTACACCTCTAAATAATACAGTTACATTGTGGGCTGAGGCTTCAACATCCAGATTTGGGGAACAATTTTGTTAATAACAGAGTAATCCGCATATAGATTTTACTAAATCCACGGGAGTCAAGGCAGCTAACCCCAGGTGGGCATCCTAATAGCAGGTGTGGTCTCTGCAGCACTCAGAGGTCAAGCCCCTAGAGACTGCGACGGGGAAAAGAAGCGCTCATTGTGTGTAAGACAAGTGCACATGTCAGGACCGCAGGGTCTCCTGTGTTCAGAGTGTCCCTGAGATTCTGGTCAGGAGGTGAGTGCCGGGCAGATGAGAAGACTCGAGAGACTGGGCCAGTGTGTGATCTAAGAGATACAACTGAAAACATGGGTGGACATTTACAGCTGTGTTAGGGTGTTCTCAGAGAAAACACAGCCTCTGGAAAGTTTCAGAAATGGGAAGTAAGACTCATGTTTAAAATACCGTACTTTCTGGGCATCACTCATGCCTGTAATCCCAGTGCTGAGGGGGCGGCGGGCTGAGGGAAGAGACCACAAGTCCACGTCCACGCTGGGCTACTCCGAAAGGCCCTCTCCCGGGTCAATGGGAAAAGAAGCTCCATGCTTTCTGTTTGGAAAGGAGATACTTTGTTAGCTGCTCTGATTCTCACTCTAAGGAGATACTTTGTTAGCTGCGCTGACTCTCACTCTTTAGGTACCGCCCACCTTTTGTCTTTGAGACAGGGTCTCTTTCTCCTCCGGGAGCTTGGTCAGGCTAGTCATGTGACCCGGTCCCTCCCTGGCTCTGGCTTGTCCAGTTCCGGGTCTGAAATCAGAGGCTGCTACCCCTGAAGTTTTAAGTGTGAGGTCTAGGAGTCAAGGGCAGGTCCCCACTGAGCCGCCTGTCCCCAGTGCTGCATGCTCTTAATATACAAGGTACTGTCGAATACTTGACTGCGTACGTCACATACTTTAGTGACCTCTCTAGCAGTGAGATGCAGAGAATTTGGAAAATGTACAAAATACGTTAACAGTTTTATAACATGTTTGTGATTTGAGTTCAATGTATAGCATATAATATTTGTAGTACAGGTTCCGTCTGTGTAGACAATCTAAGAGATTCACTCCACCCTCCATTCGAATTATTCTTTTTGCTGTCCTTACTTACAGGGCTCTTTCCTGATGTGGGTGGCGGTTATTTCTTGCCACGACTTCCAGGCAAACTGGGCTACTTCCTTGCCCTGACCGGGTTCAGACTGAAAGGAAGAGTCGTGCACAGAGCAGGAATCGCCACCCATTTTGTAGATTCAGAGAAGGTAATTTTTGGGTTGAGATCATGGGTCTTGGGGAATATGAGTATGAAGGTTGAATTTATTCGTTAGAGCTATATGACCTCAGACAAAGTACTTGAGCCCAGCCCCACATCCCCTCCTCACCATCCCTCTCCTCTTCCACGCTATCCCACAGCACAAGGGCTGCTTCATTTCCTGTCTCGTCCTCCCTTTGGAGGCAGCATTTGCTGTGCATGTGCATGGAGCTGCAGTCCACGTTTCTGTCAGGGCTGACGTGAAGGGAGCATAGATCTTAAGATAAGGACCCCAAGGGGTTAAAAGCTTTCTGCCTCTGTCAAGTTGCACGTCTTGTTTTCTTAACTTTTAGCTGCCCAAGTTAGAGGAAGAGTTGCTGGCCTTGAAGTCACCCTCGGCAGAAGATATTGCGGGTGTCTTAGAAAGCTACCAGGCACAGGTAAGTGGTTCCCAATCACAGGGAACATACGGTGCTCACACAGCGAGCGGTCAGTAAGCATTGGTTCTCTTCAATAGAAAGCATTGAGGAGCCGGGTGGTGGTGGCGCACGCCTTTAATCCCAGAATTCGGGAGGCAGAGGCAGGCAGATCTCTGAGTTCAAGGCCAGCCTGGTGTACTGAGATAGTTCCAGAACAGGCACCAAAGCTGCAGAGAAACCCTGTCTCAAAAAAAAAAAAAAAAAAAAGGAAGTGGGGGAGGGAGGAAGAGCATTGAGGGTCATTTATTGAGAGGACCAGAGCTTCAGTGTTGGGGTAGCCACCTGATACCTGCCCTCTTCCTGTGAAACTGCATAGCTTGTCTTTTGAACGTAAGTGCTTGGCTTTGGAAGGAGCTTCTGCAGAAGCTTTTGTTGTGCTCTGTGGCATCTCTGTGACAGAGGTTCAACGTTCAGACTCTTTGTGGCGCTGCCAAAACGAACCGCTAATAATACAATGTGCTGCGTTGTTTCATTCTTATGTCACCTGAGTTTTCTTATAAAGGCCAAAAATAGAAGCTGGGGCGGTAGCAGCCCAGTCAGTAACGTGTTTGCTGCACAAGCATCACAGGACTTGAATTTGATCCCCAGCACCCACTTACGGGAGCTTTTTATAAATCGAGATATGGTACATTTGTAACCCCAACTCTGGGAAGGTAGAGACAGGAAGTCCCCTAAGACCTGTTGAGCAGCCGGCCTAGCTTAGGTTAAGAGGTGAGCTCCAAGTGCTGATGAACTGACACCGAAAGAGGAATAACACATAAGGTTGATGCCTGGTCTCCACAGTTACATATCCACACTATACATGTGTGTGCGGGCACGTATACACACACACACACACACACACACACACACACAGCCAAGAATCCTTACAAATCACAATCAAATACATGATCGTCTAAAATTTCACTGGAATTGTAGTGGAGGAAGAAAAGGCAGAGATTGATGAAGTGAGATGAAATGAGAGAAAACAAAGGTGGAAATGATGTATCAATACAATGGCAGCTTTAGAGAAGAGGGCTCTAACTACAAGCGAGATTGTGACATCATCCTTGGGGGGGGGGTGTCAGCCAGAGCAGCTGAGTCCTGTGGCGAGCCCTTTAAGGAGCCAGGAGCCTCTGAAGTCTTGCGTGTCCCACACTGTGGGCAGGGGTGTAGCGCGGTGGTGGGGTGTTTGCTCGGCTGTTTCTTCAGTGCCACAGAGAGGAAGGGAGAGAGTAGGGGAGGAAGAACGGAGAGGCCTGGAGGCAGGGATACTGGTGTGGAGCAGGGAAAAAAATAATAATGTCTTGCAAGTTTTAGTGTGTGCAGCTACATCTCCAAAAGTCTAGAAAGGCCGGCCAAGGGCCGGGGACGGGCGGGTGCTGTACAGGAGGGAGAGGCGCCTGGCAAGTGGGAGGACCTGAGCGGGCTTGCAGATCCAGGGTCTGCCGTCCTCCTCCATGCGCTGGCACTCGGGGAGCTCCTCCTGACACCTGGAGGTCCTCGCCTGGTCCTGGGAATGCGCCATTCAGTTGGCAGCTGTGGTGGGCACGCCATATGACTTACTGAAGATAAACAGGACCGTCTAGAGAGCTGGATTCCTAAGTACTGGAATGGAGAAACACATGATACGCAGGCTTCCAAGCGAGAGCTTGATTAGAGTTCAGTGTCTAAAAGCTGTGTAACAGGGCTGCCTTGTAGACCAAAACTCAGCCCCTTGCTGCAATGCAGCCTCACCTTCTGGCACACCAAGAGTGGCCTTGGTAAGAATGATCTTGGTAAAGCGGCACGTGTTTATAAGAAGGTGCCTGCTGTGTCGTGTGAGGTATGGGTGGTCAAAGAGAGATTAACTGAAATATAAACAGGAGAGAGCTCAGGTTGAGAGCCCGTAAAGGATGAGTACTGAATACTGTAGTTGTCTAGCTCCACGAGGTCAAGCTGCAGGGATGCCAGGCAGGCAGTGGGGGTTTCTAGTTCTGACGGGTACTTGACATGGTGTTCTAAGGTCTTGGGTCCTAGGCTCTTATCTTTAGATGCACAGAAACATTAAGATGACAAGAATAAAGAAATAAGGGTGCCTTTGGCACTTTGAAGCGCTTATCTGGAGCTCTGCGATTCTCTGATGTTTGAACATACGGTAGCAGCTATTTATGGAAGTGTTAAATGGAATTTGAATGAAAGCGATAATCTGTCACAAATGTGTCATTAAACGTGATGAACTTGTAAAGGATTTTTTAAAAAAGATTTGCGTCACTTCAGATTCCTTCTTTTCAAACAGTCCAAGATGGATCAAGACAAATCTGCCATATTTGAGGAACACATGGACAAAATAAACAGGTACTTAACTCAAGGTACTGATCACGCTGTCCTTTGGGAGGCTGAATCAAGTCAGATCTGCTCCCGCTGTCATTGTTTGAGAAAGCTCCACATTTTGAGACGGATAGTATCCTGCTTTTCTTTTCATTTACCTTTGAAAGTAACCTCTCACCCACTCTTGCAAGAGGAGTTATTCGTTGCTGGCCTCTCCTGTGCTTGCTCATTTTAATACAAATATCTCTTTTTAAAGTTGGGGAGAAAGGCCAGAGAGTAATTGAATTATCTTACCTTTTGTCTTCACAACATCATCTTCCAAGAAGGTACTATTAGACCGCTCAGCCAGAGGCTCTGTGCTGTGATCTGGGACTAGCCAGCTGGCCCAAGGGAAGAGCAGGAGGAAGGTGGCTGGGAGATAGTGCTGTCCTCTCTGTTCTGAAGCTTCGGGTTTTGTAGTTTAGGCAGTATTTAAGTGTAAGTCCCAGGAATGCACAGAAGCAATTGAGAAGGCAGGAGTGGCTTCACGGTTCACTGGCAGTGGAAGACAACAATTGTTCTTACCGGGAAGTGGTGAGCATTTCTTCCCTAGCAAAACCCCTTGAAAGTCTTCCTATAGAAACGGGGCTTGGGGAAAGCCAGTGCTCAGGCGCACTGGTGTCTTGGATATGGGAATTTCTTGTGTGCTGGTGAAATTGTGCTTCTCTTTTTACAGTTGTTTTTCAGCCAATTCTGTGGAACAGATTATTGAGAACTTACGGCAGGATGGTTCACCTTTTGCCATACAACAGTTGAAGGTAATTCATGAATCCTTTCTGTCCCAGCTGAGTCTGGACATCTTGGGACAGGCAAGCCTGCCTGGGGGGTGTCAATATTCCATGATGTTGTTTACAAAGCCTCTGAAAGCCTTTCTCCTAAACCGTGACTGTACCCAAATGTCATGTCTATCTTCTGGCTTTTGAGAAACGAAGTGAAGCTGGTTTTGTGTCCTTTGCATGTAACAGAGAAGGACTTTGGTGGCAGTATTGCATGTAACAGAGAAGGACTTTGGTGGCAGTATTGCATGTAACAGAGAAGGACTTTGGTGGCAGTATTGCATGTAACAGAGAAGGACTTTAGTGGCAGTATTGCATTTCCAAATGTCCCTTTGTCTTCTGGGAGAAGCCAATAAAAACATTTTTAGAAGGACTGCGTCACTGCAGAGTAGACACCTGGTGACATTACAGTGGCGATTTAGCCTATTAATAATGTTTAATATGAAAGATGGCCTTCTTTAACCGAGCGATTAAATAAAGAAGTGATACAGTGTAAGCTGGCATGCTGCCATTTCCTGTCACCGCTGAGTATTAAGCAGTGTTCCTCAGAGTTAGACTTTCTACACATACCTGGTTAACAGTGGAGAAAAACCATTTGGGCTATGTGTTATATGCATGGGCTTGATACCCTTGGGCCTGTCATAGGATTGAAGCATCTCAGGATCCTAGACAGAGAAAGAGAAGGTCTGCTTCTCCACACTTGAAATGTGTCCTAGCCTGTCTTCATCTGCAGATGAACCCACATTTCGCTGCACAGCAGTGGCTTGGATGTTCATTTCCAGAATGGCAAGACACTCCATTGCACAATGTATCTGGGGTTCCTAGCAGATTTTTACTGTAAGAATTGTTGTGGCCCTGGACATTTTCATATATGCCTTATTATTGTACGATTCATATTTCTGTTAGGTATATTGCCACAGTAGTATTACAAAGCCCTGCCTTGTATGTACACATATTTATTATCCTAAATACTCTTCCTATAAGGTGGTTTCTGTGAGCCCTGGTTGGTTCCACACTCTTACCACTATGTGCTACCATTTCTTCTTCATTTTGGTCATTCAAGAGCACATAAAATAACATTGTATTGTGGTCTTGATGTGCATTTCCATGATAACTAATGTGGTCAAATGCCATTTTATATATTGATTGACCATATGAGTATCTTTTCACATGAAGTACCTTTTAAATATTCATCATATTTTGTAAAAATTTATCCGTCCTGGATATGAATCCTTCAGTTGGCATCTGGATTGCATGCACTTTCTCCTTTAGCCCTTCCCTTCCCTTCTCTTCCTGATTCATAGTAACCCAGCTTGTCTTTCCCCTTTTTTATTTGTTCTTTTAGACCTTTAATGTATTGGTCTACCTTCGAAAACTTTCATATAATAAAATACATCATATACAAAGGCATTAGGACCTTTAATACCTTCCAAAGAGAAAAGTCAATATTATGTTTTACGTTTAGAGTCTCCAAGCTCTCCTGTGGGTTTGGTGACCCCCTGGCAGGACTCACAAGACTCGGCATGTAGTGACACACACTCAGAAAAGCCAAAGGGAAGGCACGTGGAGTGAGATTGGAGAGAACCAGACTTCCAGCACATGTCCATATTCAGTGTCAAGATGATCACTCTCCACCTAGTGCACTGGAATTCCGGTGTCCTTAGAGGAACGCCCGCACCTTTTCTCTGCACAGGTGCTATGCTCTGTCATTTATTTAGGCCCACGTTCATTTCGGTGACGTTGCAGGTTTTTTTTATAGAGAATTGCATCTGTATGTTTTTCATCGGATTTATCAGTAGATAGTGATGGTTTTGATGCCTTTGAAAATGGTATCATTTAAAAGTTAATTTCTGTTTGTTAAGATATAGAAGTAAAACTGAACCCAAAATTTGTATATATACCTTCTACCTTGTATCCATGATGGCTAAACTCATTATGAAAGTATTTATAGTTTACAGATTACTTTGAATATTTGGGGATTTAACTTTATCTTCCCTTCTTTTTTTTCTTCTAACTTCTTCACCTGCATCCTTCCCACTTTCCGTTCACACCCCACTGCCCTTCTTCCTACGTTGGCTTATACCATCAGCACTATTTAGTGGGAATGGTGAGAGCTCCTCATGTTGTCTTCCTGTCCTGGGGAAAGCTTTTCAGAACACCGATGTCGCTATTGCTGTGTGAGATCTTTATCAATCAAGACCAGTTTGAAAACCTGAGGGCATTGGTGTCTGAGCCAAGCACTCAGGCAGAGGCCCAATCCAGTCATCGTCCACGCTTTGTCTTGTTCATGCTTTCGATGTAGTGAATGCTTTTCCCCAAAGAGGGAAGTCATTGCCTGACTGAGTCCATGAATGTAGTGCATTCTCATCCAGTAACAGCATTGCAGGTCAAAGAGAAAGATAAATCAGGGTAGGAAGCGCTAAGAAGAACTTTAAAGGCCGCCTCCTTGCGCCTTCTTAAGGTACAATCCTCTGTGTTTCTCTGTACTGACAAAATTACATTTTAGACACATCTGTTTAATCCCTCTCCATCATCTTCCTTGACTTCCCTTTACTCTCATGGCTGTTACTTTGTACAGAAGAAGGAGGTGGGCAGCCCTAACCAAAGGCAGTGGACCACATACATAGAAAGACAGGAATGTAGCAAGGGGACTTGTTGCTTGTTGGAGAGAAGAGTGTCTTCAGTGGGTAAGAAGATACCCGGTAGATTATAAGGAAGTAATACACATATAAAGCTAAAAATATAAAAGTTTAAAAATAAAAAATATAGAATTCAAAGTGAGAGTTCTTTGAACCCAGTTTAAACTTTGAGCTATCAATATCAATAATCCATCTGAAAACGGTTTGTGCAGTTATAAAGGAGAATGCAGGTATGTGGTAGTCTCTTGTGTCAATCAGGTGGCCACAGTCAGCTGCGTGGCTTGGAACACTAGTAATAGGCTCTTTAGATTCAGAACAAGTCCCATGGATAAGCTGAAGGATCGGATGTGGCATTCTTACTTTTTAATTAATATTAAAGGAGAGTTAGTCATGAGCTGTTTTCTCTGCCCGGGTTACGTTGAGGTTGAGACACGTCCAGCTCACAGCTGCTACCTCCCTGCTCTTTCCTTTGCTTACTTTCTTTAAGCTCTTTGCTGAGAGCCCGGGACAGAGCAGTCAGCAACTCCTTCCTTCCCTTCCCGGCCGCTCAGCTCTCCTTTCCTGCCTTGAGATGATGTGTAATCTGTACAAACACTCCAGTAAGGTTTATTTGACCAGGCTCTGCGTCGCTCCATTTGTGGAAGGGCCTGTGTTCCTGCTGTGGCGGGCTGGCACGTTTGCGTCTCCTGCTTTGGCCGAGGAGTGTTTTTATGAGTCTCTGGCCCGTGGAAGAAGTTCTAAAGCACAGGTGTTAGTCTGGCTTACTTAGGAATTTAGCTGGCTTATTACATACGGCAAACGGGCAGTTGGCTAACAAGGAATATTTTTTTTCTCCAAAGGTGATTAACAAAATGTCTCCGACATCCTTAAAGATCACACTGAGGCAGCTCATGGAGGGCTCTTCCAAGACCTTGCCAGAGGTACTGACCATGGAGTATCGGCTAAGTCAAGCCTGTATGGTAAGAATTTTATATTGAGTGTTGTTGTTTTCTAGTTAGGAAATTCATTGCAGAATATGTAAAATTCTACAATTTTACACTTTATTGCAAGTGGCAGACAGATTATCAAGGCTTGAAGAAAGGAATTGGGCCACAGTCCAGGAACATGATCAGTCTTTAAGAAAACCATGGTGAGCGTGCAGGATGGTGAGCGTGCAGGGTGGTGAGCGTGCAGGGTAGTGAGCGTGCAGGGTGGTGAGCATGCAGGGTCTGTGGGCTCATGGTGAGTGTGCAGGGTGGTTAGCGTGCAGGGTCTGTGGGCTCATGATGAGCATGTAAGGTGGTAAGCGTGCAGGGTGGTGAGTGTGCAGGGTGGTGAGCGTGCAGGGTGGTGAGCGTGCAGGGTGGTGAGTGTGCAGGGTGGTTAGCGTGCAGGGTCTGTGGGCTCATGATGAGCATGTAAGGTGGTGAGCGTGCAGGGTGGTGAGTGTGCAGGGTGGTTAGCGTGCAGGGTCTGTGGGCTTATGGTGAGCGTGCAGGGTCTGTAGGCAAGTTCTTGAGTTATAAAACTTTGAATAAAATCATGGAAGAAAAGTTTACAAGTCTAGGCAGGTGGCATCTAGGTGAATGAGGCAATCAGACACAAGTATCCCCAAACAGATCCCCACACCACATCCCACTAGAACACTAAAGGAATGGAGCCCAGAAAGGATAGTGGGTGCTGCAGGGGAGAAGGACCATGCCCCCATGGAAACGTGGGCTGTCGGAATCACAGCTGAATCTGCAGTGTAGCCCTTAAAAGTCAGAGCGGCTCAGACCAGTGGAAGAACACAGATGCCAACCCAGACCATTTGCCCAGCAAAACCACCTTTCCAAACTGAAGACTAAAGAAAAAGCCCTGTAAGGAAAGCAAGTGGAAGTAATTTGTGATCACCAAGCCACTTCCGTGGAAGGACTGCCCCAGACTGCAGAGAGAGCAGCATAATAACGGGCCACAGGAGAAAAATTCACGTTAGGTCAGTGGTTACATCAAAGGGAACTAAGAAAGCAAACAGCACAAGTCAGCATCTGACACATCTGGCCGTCAGGACACCCTGCTAGAGTAACTGAATAGCGGTGATTCCAGCTCCCCAGTCAAAGGCACAGGTTAGCAGGTTGGGCTTAAAATAGGACCCAGCATTTTACTCTTCCAAGAAGAGTGTCCCCACCAAAGAGAGACAGGACCACGGTGAGAGAATGGCCGCAGGTGTCCGTTCCAAGCCAACAATGAGGAAGCGGGAATTGCTGTCTGAACAGCTGACAAAAGAGAGCTCAAATCAGAACTAATAAGAAGCTACAAAGAGCATCACATCATTCTGTGATAGGACAGTCTATTGACAGGACGTTATAGCTCCACAAATATGTGCAACAAACTCGGTACATCAAACTTCATAAAGCAACTGCTACTAGAGATAAAGCCAACGATTACCCCCAATACATTATAGTAAGTGACTTCAGTCCCCCGCTTTCACCACAGGACACATCATCTAAAAATAGATGGAAAGGCTGTGGGGCTGAGCATCACAGGGGTCTGTTACCTGCGGAATATTGAGCCCACACGCTGAAGAGTACACCCTCCTTTCCATAACCTGGGGAATTTTCTCAAAACAGGCCACATATTATACAAAGCAAGTGTCAACAAGTACAGGAAAACTGCAGTAACTCCTTGTATTTTTTCTGACTCCATTGGAATAAAGCTAAATATCAGCAGTGATGGAAAATACAGGGGTCTTAGATATTAAACTGCACACGTGAATGATGAATGGGTCACTTAAAAAAAATAAATTACTAAACTTGAATGAGAATGAAAACAGCACACCCCAATGTATGAGAAACAAGGCAATAGTAAGGAAGGTTTACAGTCAGTGAGTTTGGGCAAGCTGTTTCAGGGGTGCAGAGGCAGAGGTTAGAGCACCATACCCTGGAGATGAGCGGCAGACAGGCTATGAGGAAGCGAGAATAATGTGGGTATGCCGCCTTAAAGCAGAGTCCAGGACTGCGGCTTATCTGTAAGACGGAAGATAATTGAGCTCGGTCATAAAGGGCTGGGAATTATCCAGAGGGAAACAAGGTTACAGCATACCACACTGTGCTAGGACCCGGGTTAAAGTAGCCCCGTGATGAACTGATATAGCTACCTCATGAAGGAAGCTGCATTCCCAGGCAGCACAGTTACTGTGTGGTAGCGACAGGCTTCTGACTTGCGTGTCTGCAGCCACTTAGTCCTGTGGCCTCTAGCGACGGTGTCAGGAGAGAGCTGTGGCACCCCTTCTCAAGGGAAACCTCTGGGAGGACAAAGGAGATGTGGGCTGGAACGCAGGCATGACTTGCCCTCTGAAGGGAGGACCCCCCCCCCACACACACACACACACAACTTCTAGTCTTGAAATGGAGAGGAAAGCCTGGAAACTGCATCCACCACAGGGATTTGGGTGCAGAGAATGTGTGTGTGTGTGTGTGTGTGTGTGTGTGTGTGTGTGTGCTTGTGTGCTTGCATGTGTGTGTGCGCGTGGCTGTTGGGAGCTTCTCTTTTGTTAATGGGGACGGTGAGTCCTTAGTTGGGAATGTAAGAGGCAGAGCGAGAGAGAAGGACGGACATTGAGGAAGCAGAGTTGAAGGCGTGGCCTCGAGACTGGGGAGAGATCATGGATCCTGGCAGCCTTCTGTGCCTGCTTGAGACTTACTGCATACATCATGGACTTTAAAGGGAGTGGCATTGCTATGGTTTTCTTTAGGGAGGCAGCTAATGTAAGGAATTTGCTGGAATAGTATAAAGGTTTGAGGGCTGAGGACGTCTTCCAAAGCAAGTGGCCATATCAGTGGCTTCGAGAGCCTGGTCTGGAGAAAGAACAACGTGAAGGCAGCATGGTGGGGCAGGGTGGAGGCTGCACCAACCTGAGAAGGAGTAGAGACGTGCCTCAGTGGGCTTGCCTGAGCCAGTGAAGTTGGGCGGTGGTCTGAGGGGAGCTGTCTGGAGGGCGCCATACTCCGGGTGCCGTGGCCACAGCTGTAGTCATAGGGCTGAGGTGGGTGGAAGAGGAAGAGCGTAGGAGCAAGGGTGCCGGAATTACTCCATTTGCTCTGCTCTTGACTCTTTCAGGAAGGTCATGACTTTGATGAAGGCGTTCGAGCCGGTAAGTGACAAAGGGGGTTTGTGAGCATTCTCAGTTAAGTTCAGTGGCTGTTTTAGTGGAAATTAAACTTTTAGAATGGTTGCTGTGCCTGTGTGTGCGCATGCACGTGTGTACAACATATGGAAAGGTGTCTCCAAAACTAATGTTTCACATTCATACCCTGTGCGTGTCAGACCCTGTCCCCTCTTGAGTGGTCAGTCGTGTCCGTCCGTCCCCGTCCCCCCCACTCACGGAACCTGCCCTGTGAACTTGTAAACATGCCGTGCTGCATTTGAAAGGTGCATTAATCATTGCCTAGAAGCCTTCAGCTGCCTCTTGTTCCTTCTCCGTTTGTGCTATTCTCCAGCACCCTCCTCCTCATGCTTAGGTAGTTGGCATCACTGGGAGAGCACAGGGGGCGTTATAGGTAACACTTTTGCCTTGCTCACGGCAGCAAATTTACAAAACGCTTATGTCGTTTTTCTCTAGCAAACTTGTAGCCATTCTTTTTCTTGTGTTTATGAAGAGCTGTTTTCCATATATAAAATGAGCTGTTTTCTTCTGCATAAATTTTGCATGTCTCTTCCTGCCTCTGCCTCCCAAACATGCCATAACTGGCCAGTTTTCTTGCTTTTATTAGTCATTTTGGTACAGTACAGACACTGTTCGTGTGTGTGTGTGTGTGTGTGTGTGCGCGCGCGCGCGCGTGTGTGTGTGCATATGTATATGTATGTGTGTGTGCACATGTGTGCGTGGTGGGGGGGGGACTATTGCTCTACCATCGGCCTATACTCTACAACCCCAGAAATATTTTTCTGAGTAAAAAGCTGTGTTTTCTGCACCCTGAGATTTGGTAAATTTCTGCTGTTGTAAAATTCTCTTCATTTGCAGTGTGACGTGAATAACTTAGTCACCATCAGACTCACACAGCAAGAGCTTGGCAGCTGTGGGACAGTGCAGAGGCAGAGACAGGCGGATCTCTGTGCGGCCCAGGCCAGCCAGAGCCACATAACAGATCATGTCTCAAAAACAAAAACAAAACCCACCACCAACGATAACCAAAAACCCAAAGTAACTGCTTGTCAAGCTACTTTTCTTTCTAAAATTGGGGCGGGGGAGGTCTTTTATTATGAGACAAGGTTCACCATGTGGGCCAGGCTGGTCCGATACCTGCTGTCTCGCCGCCTCAGCTTGCTGAGTGCCGGGATCAGGTGTGCGCCACCAGGCCTAGCTCACAGTGAGACAACACTGCTGCCTCCTAGCTCAGCACAGACTCTACTCAGACAGGAGCATCTGCTGGGGGAAGACTGTCTAGTATTCTTGCTGTGATTTACAACTATAACGCTGTGTCAGCACATTCAATGTTGACATCTAGGATGAGCTCCTTTCTGGTTACAGAAGATGAAAGTGAACCCTGCCAGCAGAGCTGAGGGTCAGAAGCTCTCCCTCCTGCGGGCCGAGCTTCCTGCACGGGCAGCATTTTCTGTCTTGCACAGATGTGCTCAGGGCTCACTCCTATGCCCTTCAGTAGAACCCCAAGGAGGTAGCTGGTGTCAGCCATAACTGAAGGGGAAAAGTCTTGTGGGAAGCAGACCCTAGGACCAGTCCTCTGTTGACACTGGCTAGGAAATAGAAGCTTTCAGTCCAGTATAAAGATGGCTGCATACCGACAGCTCCCAGGTACCTGAGACTTCATCTCAGAACAAACTAAACACACGTACCTCTCCAGCATCTGCATTTGATTGTGCCGAAAGCTGTACCTATACAACAAGGCGTCCTTCCTTGGTTCCCAGACTGCTCCTCCAACTGTACTTAATTTGGTGGTTTTTTTTTTTTTTTTTGAGTATCCAGAGCCTGTATATTAAGACTGGGAGTAGAGAATAATGACAGAATGCTCACCCAGGGTGCAAGAGGTCTAAGGTTCAAGTCCTGTGCTGTCACAAGCAAGCAACAACAAAGCAGACATGGAAACACACACAGACACACACGCATGCTCTCTCTCTCTCAAATACACACACACTTCCACTCTTTATTAAAGTTATGTATGTTAAGCATGTCTCAGATTTGCTACCGTATCACGCTTTTTTAAAGCTGTTTGCAATTATAGGTTGAGCTTCTGAATCCCCTCCCTCCACACATCCACACATCCTGAGTCCACTAACCCCAGAAAACAGGATTCTCTTTATTTTCTTAAGTGTTTACACTTAGAATCCCATGGGGATATAATGTGGCTACCCAGAGTGGTATCTGTAATGAAATAGGAATAGAAGATTTTGTGATTACCTGATGGTGGTCTTATTTTTTTTTTAATACTAGAGGATTTGGTAAGATGATAACATCTACATTTAATTATGTATACAGTCTCCTTTCTTTACCTCAAGTAATTAATTTTCCTCTCAAAGCCTGGTTAGAAGCCTGGGCCCTCTGCTCTCCATTGCCTCCCCTCCCCCTTGCACCAATATGTGATTTAGCTGTCTGCAATACAGAGATTTCATTTATAGTTCTGTCTGAGGCTGGAAGAGGAATATTTAAACTGCCAGATTAGTTCACTGGGTTTTACTGAAAGCATAAACGTTGCAGAAAAATGTGCTGTAGAAGAGAATGCCTAGTAAGGCAGAGGTATCAGTTCAGTGGTTCCATCTGATGGCAGCACAACAGGCTGTGCTAATGTCTCCACCTTCTTTTCACAGTTCTCATTGACAAAGACCAGAGTCCCAAATGGAACCCGGCCAGTCTAAAGGAAGTTACCGATGAAGACGTGAATGGCTATTTTAAATCTCTGGGTAGCAGTGATCTGAAATTCTGAGGTGGCCAGACCTCCTAAAGTTTATTTTTGGAGCAAGGGTCAGTAAACATATCACAGAGGCTAGCTCGGTCTCTCAGCTTGCCCGTTTCCAGCCTGCAAACTGGAAATGGCTTCCTCACTTTTAAATTGTTGGAAAAGAAATGAAAAGACTAATGTTCTATGATACGATGGTCACCTGAAGTCGAAGCACCGGTGTTTATAGTGATTCATGATACAACAGTTAGCTGATGTCAAAGGCCAATGTTTCTAGAACTTTACTGCAGCAAAACCATCCTTGTATCTAGGCTACTGGAAGTGGCCATGTGTGGTGGTTTGAAAGAAAACGGCCCCCATAGGGAGTGGCACTGTTAGGAGGTGTGGCCTTGTTGGAGGAAGCGTGTCACTGTGGGGGTGGGCTCTGAGGTCTCCTGTGCTCATTCGCAACCGCTGCCTGTGGATGAAGATGTAGAACTCTCAGCTCCTTCTCCAGCACCATAGCTGCCTTGTCCCCCGTGATGATGATGGACTAAACCTGTGAACTGTAAGCCAGCCCCAATTAAATGTTTTCCCTTTAAGAGTTGCCATGCTCATGGTGTCTCTTCACAACAATAGAAACCCTAAGACGCCATGACATATACTGTGTGGCCCGCAATGTCTCAAGTGTCTCCTGCGATCTTCATCAGAAGTGACTTGCTGGGCCCTGGTTTAAAAGATGGGAAACTCTCAAGTACTCCAGAGAGTCTTCAGTTACATTCTCTCATTAAAATGGTAACATTGGCTTCCAGTGGTAGTTTATGTGTTAATCAAATTGTGTATAGATTATCAAAAGTAAAGACCCTGAAATTTGGAGGGGGTATGTTAATTAATGCCTTACAAATGTTCATGTAAGAAAACGTGAATGAATTTGGAACAACACTTAACAGAAGAGTTACTCTGTAAACAGGAAGAGGAAGAGTCTCACTGGAAAAGAAGCTTCGTCTCCAGACTGCTGTCTCGGCCTCAGCTTTTCCGGGTCATCGGAACATACCTTCCCGGCAGAAATGCAAGTTATGCCTATTATTTGCAGTATTTGCTACCCTGAAAAAAATGGAACTCCAGTCTCTAAGACAGACACACCCTTACTTTTTATAAGTTATATCAAACTTTTGTAGGAAAAGTCAAAAGCAATTTAAAATAGAAATGTCTTTAGTAACTGGAGGTTGACAGTTTTCAAATATTTCATGTGTATGCATATTTTGCCTGCAGAGCCATAAGAGGGCCTTAGGTCCCTGGATGATTATGGGTAACCATGTGGGCACTGGAATTAAACCTGGGCCTTCTGGAAGAGCAGTCAGTGCTCTGTGATGGAGGAAGGTCATTGGCTAATAAAGGCACTGCCCTGGCCCATTTTATTGGTTAGAGGATAGGTGGGAGGAGTAAACAGAACAAAATGCTGGGAGGAACAGGAAGTGAGCGCAGAGACTCCACAGCTCTCTCGTGAGCAGACGCCTCAGAGAGAGACGCCATGCCCAGTTCCCGGGATGAAGCTCCGACCCAGGATGGACTAGGCTAGAATCTCCCTGGTAAGCGCACCTTGGGGTGCTACACACAGATGATTATAAATGGGCTAAATTAATATGTGAGAATTAGCCTAGAAGAGAATGGGCCAGGCAGTGTTTAAATGAATACAGTTTGTGTGTTGTTATTTCGGGGCATAAGCTAGCTGAGCAGGCAGCCGGGGTGCTGGGGACGCAGCCCCGCCGCTCTTATTACTTCAGCTCTGAATTACTGAGCCATCTCCCCAGCCCCTGGCAGATTTATGTCAGGATAATTTTATATTAGAGTCAGCTAATCATTTGTTTTGTAACTTGGTATAATTTCTCCTTCATCCCAGGCTCCTGGAAAAACTAAGAGAATTGAGGTAAGAGAATTGCAAAAGCAACAGAACTGAAAGGAACACTGGGCTCATTCCTGCACCTCCCCCACACAGAACTGAAAGGAACATCAGGCTCATGCCTGCACCTCCCCACACAGAACTGAAAGGAACATTAGGCTCATGCCTGCACCTCCCCACACAGGTGGAGGCTACTTTTCCTCAGCTCTTAATTTTTATGACGGCCTTTTTCTCCAGACAGTTCAGAAATAATACCACGATATTGACCACGTGTTACAGCTATATTCTTAAAGCTCCAAAATGAGACCTTAACCCAATGGCTTGTCTGTGTCCATGTTAGCAAGACATCCTAGAAGTCTTTATGTGAGACATCGGTGGACCACACCACAAGTGTTTGCTTCAATCAAGTAAGTACTGATAGCTCATTTAAGTGGACTTTTATTATACTTGCAAAAAAAAAAAAACATTTTCACAAATTTTTTTTGGGAAAATATAGCACTTCCGAGTTAACTCCTACAGATGGGACTTTGCTAACAAAATGAGTTTCGTAGATAAAGTGACAGCGAATTCTTTAGAGCTAGCGCTTCCGGCTCCGCGGGGAAACCCATGGCTGGCTGCGTCATTTCACACAGATACTACATGTGTATAGACCGACATACACATTACTGTTTCTTGACATCATGTGTCCATTTATAGCTTCTGATTTCTAAAGTAATAAAGTGTAGACGTGTACTCTGTCCCCTCCCACAGGGCCAGTGGGGACAGAGCAGGACGTGCATAGCTTCCCGTTTCTGTGCATTTATTTTAATGCCTAGGGGACATTTGATACAAAGTCCTTTGGGCTTAAGACAATCCTGTGTGTCCTCTTGAAAATTGTGCTTTAAGTGATAACAGGTGTAGGTAGTTTGCAAAGAACTGATAAGGCAGCTAAGATGGGAGAGTTCTAGATCGAAGGCCCGTGACCAAAAGGTGACGGTACCAGAGACTACAGCAAAGCGCATTGTGGCATTTAGAGTCTTGGTACATAAGGATTGGCACGTTGATTTCCTCCACTGATCTCCCTCCACGGTTGCCTCTGGGAGACCGTGTGCTGATAGCATCCCTCCGCCCGTACACGGATGCTATGAGCACCGTGCTATGAGTCCAGTACCGAAGGAGTCCGCCGTCTGCTTATGGGCCTCCCTTCTCGCTCATCTCTCCTTAATGAAAGATTTCAAATGAGGATCAGATGTTTAATGCGAAGGCGTGAAAGGAGGCTGATTTCTTATCAACGGTGTCTCGCTAAATGCAAACTCTGTCCTGACAACTATCCAGTGTGGTATAAAGTTTGCTCAACTCCTTCGTCACACATGGTTTATCCACCTACTAGGTAAGCCTTGTGGTTCCTTGTTCATGGGCGGATGTGCAATTCTCATATATTCTATATCGTTAAAGCCTGACTAGGTGAGGGCACAGTGCTTACTTCACGCTCAAACCGTTCATACTTGCTGAAAGGGGGTGGCAGCTGGGAGCAGACCTCTAGCTAGATGCAGACCTGGCAGACACCTTTGCTCCACCCTGGGGGTTGGGGGTCAACAAGGAAGAAACGAGAAGTTGAAATACTCACGTGTAACCCCAACCCACTTGCTGTTATCTCTGTGTACATGTCTTCTTGTTATGACCAGCATACATACTTTATATACTTAATTGTATATTTTGAATAACAAGAAACCTTGCACCAGGTGACCTCATAGGAGAAACCAGATGAGTGAGAACCGGGTGACCCGAGTCATCAGCACAGATGCTGGAAGCTGTGCTGCTCTGCAAACTGGAGCCTGTACTTCTGGGAGGGACGTCTGTGCAGAGCCAGGCACAGGAGGGGTTGCTGTAGTTCTGTGAGCTACTGGATTGCAGGTGTAGCGGGGTACTATGCTTCCCATGGCTTAGTAAAATTAGCGGAGTGGCCAGGTATCTGAAAGCAAACTGAAAAACAGCTCATTTTAACAGCCTCTCTGCTCCTAAAACTTGGAGAATTCACTCTATTTGGCTTGGATTTCAGCACATTATGAAAACTAGAGGCAACGTTTCTTGTTATTGGCAAAGCCAAGTACCTATTTATCTCATTAGCGATACCAAAAGCCTTTCTCCAGTGGTTTTGGGTTTCAAGGACGCTGATAAACCATATAGCTGAAGGGCTGGTGTGGGTGGGCTGTTTCTCTCTCTAGTTAGACCTGGTGTCTAGCACAGCTTGGTGACAATCCTGGACAGTCGGCTCCGTTCTTCCACTGGCTTTGCCCAATGTCTTCTGTTACTGTTGAGCTTTATATAGTTCTTTAAATAAATAAAACAGTATATACTAATGTATATACTATAAATGCTTAATTTATAACATTTCTATAATCTGTGGCTAAGAGCACCCTGTGACTGCTAAATCCCACATAGGTGCTCCCTTGGGGAGGAGCGTTCTGTTCTGCTGTCTAGTGGAGGAGAATTACAACCTCCTCTATGCTGGCTCTGCACCCACCCCAGCACTGCAGGAGGCTTTACCCACGCTTAGCCATGACACTGGGCTTGGCTTGTCACCTTGCAGACTGGACTTCTGTCATTAAGACATATTGGATTAAAGGTGTCAAAGGGCTTCTTAATTCAATCCCGTAAACTAATGTCATGGCTCCTATAAATTATCCTTTAAAGATGGCTGTAATGGGCAATGTTTAAATCATCCAGGCAAAGCAGTGGGATGGCCCTGAGGCCCAGGGCAGCAGTTATCCTTCTCACCTATAAATGAACTTCCTAGTAAGAGCATCCGAGGCAGCCCCGTTTCCTGCTGGCTCTCTGATTTTAAGTTACGGTGTCAGGAAGTGGGCAGTCCCTGGCCTGCAGACAGGCTGTGGGCCACTTTGGCTGGAGTTCAGTTCTTTTCAAGCCATTTTAAGGAAACCCCTTTTCCTGGTCTGGGCTTTTTTTTTTTTTTTATTTTTTTGGTATATATTAACAGAAATAGTCATTTTAAAGTCAATCCCTTAAAATAACCATTTGAAACTTGGGCACTTTTTATTCAGTGTTTTCTTTGGTGATATGCCATCACTGCCTCAGGGAGAACATGCTTGGGCAGACAGCTCAGCTGGTTGCTAGGTGCCACAAGGCCTCTGCCCCTCCTTCCTGTGACCCAAATTCAAGATGGAGCAGCTATACATCGATGTTAACATAGAACTGCCTAAAACTGTATGTCATCGTAAGCGTCGCTACCCTAATATCATAGACACATCCAGGTGGGGTTTTGAAACTTGTCTCGTGTATTTAAACTAGCACCAACCGCAGCCAGAGCCTAGCGGAACGCCGTCAGCCGGTGGCAATGGCCGTGTCCGAGCCCTCGCTCTCGATGTAGGGGATGTTGTAGTACTTGATGTTCTCGCACACCCACTGCTGCAACGCATCCTGCACGATCTCATTGGCCAGACGCTCTGCGAACTCGAGGACCACGGGACTGGGCTCCGGGAGTGTCTTCACTTCCTCTTGGACTTGGGGTCTAACTGGAGAAGGGGTCCTGGTCTGACAGCTGTCATCGGGCATGAAAGCTATTTCGCTCTCATGTAGCTTGTGGATGTCTAATGTGGTTGGAAAGGGGAACGCTTCCTTGGACTTCATGCAGCCCATGATGAAAAGCTTTGGCGGACTGAAGGCGAGCGGTGTTAATTAAGACGACGTCCACAGCATCTTTGGGAAACAGCGCAGGGTTGTTGACGGCAGCGGTGACCAGGCTTCCTCTCGGGCCGCTCTGACAACCACTGGCCCCTTTCAGCACTCCTCGGGTCTTGTGTTCACCTGCCGAGAGAAGGGAGTTGTCACCGCAAGGTTCTGCATGGTGTGGTGACCTGGAAGTCCTTAGTTCCTTGTGAGAAAAGCGGGGTTCTCAGCACCCAACCCCAGGAGCCAAAGCTGGAGAAGTCACTCAGAGGGAACGACAGGACACTCGCCAGACATTTTGAAAATCAAAGTAAATGAAGTAAAATTTTACACTGACAAGTGATCGTTCTTGGACTGAATTCCACCCACATTTTTTTGTTTTTTATTCTTTCACAATTTCACACATATATAATGTACTTTGAGCATAGTCTCCCTACGACCCTCTACTCCTTAGTCATATCATCAAACCACCAAACCCCTCCCAAGTCACCCTCAAACCACCAAACCCCTCCCAAGTCACCCTCCTTTGTGTTTTCTGTTGTTTGTCTCTTCTTCCCACCCTCCTTCTGCTGCCCCCATGGGTGGGGGTGTCCCACAGGATGTAATTAGGCAGTTTTAAAGTCAATCCTTCAAAATAACCATTTGAAAGCTGGGTCCTTTTATTCAGCGTCTGATCTGATGGTGCCCCCTTTGGCAGCAGATGTCCCCCTGCAGGAATGAGCAAGCGTTCATGTCATGAACATTACTCTCTAGGATCCCAGGGCTCCAGGCTCAGGGAAACAGCAAAGCCTTCCCCTGGTTGGAGTATGGATGTTAGCAGTGTGCACTGTAAGTATCCTGCCTCTTCCCAGCTTTTCTGTGTGTCTGCCATTTCTTCATCCCCCGTGGCCACACACCCACAGCCGCGCAAGCTGTGGCAACCACTGCTGCTACCAAAACCAAAACAAAACATTGTCTACAAAGAAAGTTCACCAGGACGTGGCTCCTTTGTGTATGCTGTATGGTTGGGTCTTGCTAACCATGGTGACACTGGATAGTTAGGACAGATGGAACCCACAGGTCTTTGGCAGGAAGTGTTTGCTGATCTCTGATCCTTACTCTTAGGAAGAATAAAGCGAAGTGTGCTCCTGTCGCCTTCCCTGTGAGCTCACCCATCTGAGGCTGCTGTTCAGGTCTGACTTTGTCCCCTGGCCAGATTTTTACAACTTAAGGGTGAGAAGAGGATAATGGTCTTCACATCTGTGTGTGCCCTGGATAACACAGACGTTCAGGAGCCACCTGGGTTTTTACTTTTTCTTTCTGAATGAAATACATCCTATGAAGTTATTTTAAAACAAAGGTTTCTTATACCAGAGTCCCTCCATGCTCCTCCTGTCGGTGTTTAAACAGTGAGCAGGCCACACTCTGTGGCATGCCTTTGCGTCTTACGTGGGTGTTGTCACTGAATGAATTGACTTATATAGGTGGCCACATTAAGGACATGCAGCCACTGGGGAGCACAGATGAAGCCACCAATTCCTGTCCACAGTACCTGAATAGATTTCGAAAAGAACACCAAAATGTCATAAAATGAAAGTTGTTATTTTTGAGACCTCTGGTCCATGTCAACTCACTTTTAATACTTTGTACTCAAAGCCTAGGAAAATTAACCCTTTGGAAATTACTGCTTTACATTTTTCTTTAAATATATGGTTTTTCTCTTTATATACTCACAGTCCCCACCACTAAGTAAGGATAAAAAAGGGGGGAATATATGTAGTTCAATAAAAATAATTTTTAAAAATAAGATATATAAAAAAAAAAGAAAAGGGGAACAAAGGAATTCCAGGCTTCTGCTTTTAAATTTGATTCGTATGTCACGCTTCATGTTCTGGTTTTAGGGAGGTTTTTCAAAGGGGGTATAGAATGTGTTGAGTGTCTTGTTTGCTCTGTTCAGCTCATTGACACTGGGTCTACCTTCGCTACAGATCTCTAACACAGAGCATGCAATTACTTAGAATCTATTTTGGACTGAGAAGTGATATCGTCACTGGACAGAATTAACATGGAAATGACTAGAGCACCCTGTCATAAACAAAGAGGCAGACGTAGGTTTATCCGGTGGCCCCATCCTCTACCTGTCTTCCATTTCCAGCCACGGCAGAGCACCTTGCACTCTGACCTTGCCTGGTAAGCCTGCTCTCTAATCTCTATGCCTCCTGCATTCAACACCACTCCTCTGGGCCCATACCCAGTGCTGTGGCCCATTCTGAGGAATCCCATCTGCACTCTCCCAAGCTCCAGATTTGGACCAGGATGCACCTGCTCAGCAACCTCTATCTTCTAGACCTTATCCTATCTCCTCATCCTAAAGCTACCTTCCAGGTCTAGCCTGGCCAGCGCACTCTGGGCTCTAGTCTAGCTTAGCGGCTCCACAAACTGCCTGCATTCACCTCAATCTGGATAGAGCCCAGTCCCACATCCAGTGCTCCAGCTCAGACGGAGGGGCTCTTCCCAAAAACCCTTCCAACCTCCAGACCTGGGACAGAACACACAGCCAGTGTGCTTCCCCATCTGCAGGGTCCGCATCAAACATACAACCAACAAGAAAAATATCCACATGCACAAACCTCATCGGAAAACAATACAAAAGAACAAAACTGTCTCCTCTAAAAAGCAGTCACTTAGAAATGTTCTCTAGTAAGAATCACCTTACTGAGGCGCAGGGCACAGATCTTAAAAGAACAGTCACAGACTTCATCAAAGAATTCAAGGAGCTTAAGACAAAACAGCTCAGCGAACTTAGAACATACAGAGAAAAAATGTGTTGCATGATGCTCCCCCCACAAACAAACCCCACAAAAATAAGGCTGAATGAAATGACAAAGGCAATCGAGAATTTGAAAAACAAATTTGATAAAAAGACAAATATTGGAGAGAGTCAAACTGAAATGAAGATAGAATTGGAAAATGTAGTATCCCAGTTAGAAAAAAACGCGGAGGAAGGTCATACACACGGGATGGTTTAAGTGGAAGATAGAATATTGAAGATGAAGGAATTGGACCACACAAGCAAAGAATATGAAAAAATTAAACACAGGAAAAGAACATGGAGGAACTATGGGATGCCAAGATAAGACCGCATCTTCTAATTAAAGGCATAGATGAGAAAGAAGAATCCCCAGTCAATGGCATAGACCAGAGCTTAATATAAAAATAGACTTCCTCAAACTAAGGAAAGACAACCCTTATAGATACAAGAAGCATACAGAACACCAAAGAGACAAGACCAGAAAAGAAGCTACTTATGAGCTACCACACTTAAAACTCTCATTATGCATACAGAAGGAGTGTTGAAAGCTGCAAGAGAAAAAAACGTCATATATAAAGGCAAATTCACGAAAGTATTCTTTGTGGATTTCTCAGTGGAAACTTTGTAAGCCAAAGGAACTTGAAAGAATGCTTTCTAAAGTTCTAAAAGACATGATGGCAGCCTTAACCACTGTATCTAGGAAAACTATTTAACAGAAACGGTAGGAGAAAAAGGTTCTCCTGATATAAACAGTCTAAAAACGGCGTGTCTACCAAAATGATCCTATTGAATATTGGAAGCAGTACTTTAGACTGAAGAGAGGAATACGCATGTCCAAAAGACTCTTAAGAAAATTAAGCTATAATTAATGAAATACAAAGCATAACTAAAACAGCAAAAACGTCAAGAAAATTACTTTAGTATACACACCCTTGAATAATAACTTTAAAAATGTATGGATTAAATTCTCCAATCAAAAGACATAGGCTAGGTGAGTGGACTAAAACAATATCTTCCTGTTATCGACAGGAGACTTGGCTGTAGGCACCCCTTTAAATTGAAAGGATGGAGAGAGTGCGCCAAGCAAATGGGATCAAAGGAAGCAGCCGTTGCCATCCACATATCTGACAAAATTCAACTTCAAACTAAAGCTACACAGGAGGAAAAGGAGGGCACTTCATTCCCGATCAAGGCAACAATTAGCCAAGATAATATTGCAATACTAAACACACCTGGAGCAACTCTGGGGCACCCGATTTCACAAGAAAGCATAGTGCTGAAATTAAAGGTAGGTTAACACCAGCCCAGTACTCGTAGGTAATTTCAATAATGCACTTTATAGATCAATAGATAACTCATATTATCCATGTAGATAGCTCATCTGGAAAAAAAAATAGGGGAAACCTTAGACATTTTACATCAAGTGGACTTAATAGCAGAATATTCCATTCAAACACCAAAGAACATACATTCTATTCAGCAGCTAATGGAAGCATCTCTAAAATAGACCACATCCTAGGTTGCAAAAAACAATCTTAAATTCAGAAAAAAAATAATTCCAACTGCCCTTTTCAGCCATGATGCAATAAAACTTAAAAATGATCGCAAACAAATTTCTATTAAGTGTTAAACTCATGGAGATTAAACGACTCATTAGTGGACAATGAACCGGCCAAAACAGAAGTCAAAATAAATTTTTAAAAGTTTATGGGAACTAAATGAAAATGAAAACACAATAATAACCTTTGAGGCACTTTTTAAAAAGTTCTTCAAGTACCCCTTATAGCTCCATATTGAATATGCCTATATTCAAAATAAAACCAGAAGGAGCATAAATAAATGACATGATACAACTCAAGAATTTAGGAAGACAGAAGACAAGCCCAAATCCAGTAGACAGCAAGAAATAAAAACCAAAGTAGAAATTAATGAAATAAAAAATTAATATAAAGGATCAATAAGTCTAAAGAGCTGGTTCTTTGAAACAATAAGCAAGATTGACATATTCTTGGCCCAACTAACCAAAAGAAAGAGAGAGGCTCCAAATTAATGGGAATGAATGGCGAGACATTTACATTCGGAATATTATAAGGGAATACTCAGAAAACCAGCACTCCATCAAGTTGGAAAATAAAAAGAAACGTGAATTCTAGGTACATAGAAACACCAAAGTTATACCAAGAGAGGTCAAGGACCTGAACATAACAAATGAATTGACTGAAACAGTAATAACATAATAATAAACATAATAATAATAATAAACCTCTGACCAAAAAAAAAAGCCCAGCCCAAATGAATTAAAAGCATATATCCATTCAACTTGGACTTTCAAATATCTTCAGCCAAT